TTAAAATTCTACCTTTATTCCTATTAAAAAAAAAAAAAAAAAAAAAAGAAGTGTAACCTCTGGTGTACACTGTCCCATTCTCTCTTGGTGGTACGCTCTCAGTACCACCAAGATTGTCCTTCTTCCAGGCCCTGAACCTGCACAGAGCCCTCCAGACCCTACATCTGGGTTTGTCGTAGCCTGGTTTCACGGCTCCCCTACCAACAGCAAGCAACCCTGGTTGCCCTCAGGGAAATGTTTTATCAGTGTTCTGCCCACACCTGATAACGCCTCCCCCCATAACATGACACCTTCCCTCCCCTCTCTGCCTGCTGGCCACCTCTCAGCAGGTAAAAGAGAAAACGTAGGTCGGAGGAGGCAGTCAAACGCCACCACATGCACAAAGCACTATCCAGCCCATGACAGAACTCTTAGTTCCACCTGACTTCTCATTCCCCATTGGCAAATATATATATATATAACACCCTTTGCTTGGCTTCCAAAGAGGAGAGAACATTCAGGAGAGAGAGATGGATGGAGGGGAGGAAAAAAATCCCACAAACCACACACACAGAAAACCCACACAGGCAGAAAAAAAAGGGAGAGACTACAAGGGAATTTTCTGGATCTTCTTCCCCTGACTTATTAAAATAAACAAAGTGTATTGTTAAGTGCACAAATATGAGAAAGTGTTAAACTCAAAGTACACATGTGCACTTACAGAATTACACTTTTTAAGCATCTGAATAGCCACAGATCTAATCCATCATCATCCACTAATCTATTTTCTCATCACTGACAGTAACGCCAGATGCTTCAACAGAAAGTGCAAGAAATTACACCGTAGGCAGACGTAGAATAATCTGCTCTCCTAGAAAGTTTCCTCCGAGCCTTATTTCTCAGAGACTGGCTCAAGCTATGAAGGATAAACATTTACATCTTTTCTACAGCTCTCCAAAATTGTCTTTTTAGTATTTGCAAAGTTTTTAATACTTCTGGATACCTCTGTGAATTACAGACATTATTTTGGACCTAGTCAAGTTCTGTGCTCCAGGAACGCTCTGGTAAATAGTCCCTCAGTCTAATTATACATCTAATGAAAAAAAAAAAAAAAAGCAAGCCTCGAATTTTTCAATTTCACTGCATGCCTACTTGTTCTTATATTGTATGACCAGGAAAAAGGTTCCTAACTTACTTTCTCTGTACCATGCATCATACTCTCTCTCATATGTTAATCTGAATAAGGGATGTACTCTTAAACTATTTGAGATATAATGGCACGTAGGGCTTACAGAAGAACAGAACTAATGGCTCTTTACACTCACGGAATGGCACTAACAGGAATGAGAAACAGGCCTTTCATGCACGTTTTCAGCAAGCAACATGATACTATCCTTTTTTTTTTTTTTTTTTTTTGTAAAAACAAGTTTTTAAAGCTGAAAACTATTTTCATAATTAAAGAAATTCAGCAAAAATATTTTACCTAAAACAGCTAAATAACCATTCCTCTGCATTGCCTGAAACCAAAACATTGCAGCAGCAAGAATCTCAAAGTGAAGCTGACAAATTATTTTAATTCTCTAAACTAAGGGAAATAGAGGGGGGGGAAAAACCACACCAGAGCATGAGTAATAACATCAGATTAATATCCTGTTGGTTTAGAAGCAATATTTAATGTATGTAGACACACATTCCTCTGCAGTAGCCTTTAAGTTTAGGGGAGTTCTTTCACATCGTCACTTGTTCTACGCCTTTCTGATAGGTTTTTTTCCATCTGCTAAGGCTATATTTATCCTACTGCCATAATTATAAAATTTCATTTACTGATGGAACTAGTGTAAAGACTTCCATGCTGCTTTTTTTGCTGCATAACAGGCATTTAATTTAAACAAATAAAGGTGTCTCTATACACCATTTTATCACAATTTTGCTCAGTGTTTGGGAACTACCCACATCTATGCTGGGAGTGCTTGCACCACATGGATCACTCCCAGGCAGGGTCGTTTGGGTAAAACAAATCATCCCAACTGGCCCAACTTGTCGGCGCTTAAAATTGCCATTTCAGGAAGGATTTTACAAATTTATCCAATGCTATCCATTTCAGATATGGAAATTCAAGATAGTTGATTGTAATGACTTTTTAAACAAGGCTACTGTTCACGGAGACGATTAGTGAGCTAATCTGCTCTAAGCTTCCTGAAAGATAAGTCAGGCTCTTGAGTAAGGATTTGAATGCTGCATAAGGAGAGGCCTCCATGTGAGGTAGAAAGAGCTGGGAAGGGAGCACAGGGCTGGCTGGGGAAGACTCAAAAGGCCTGGGACACAAAGCTGCCCGCGCCGGGCAAACAGAGGGACTGGTGAGCACCCGGAAAAGCGAGAGGAAAAATGACGAACAAAGTTGTGTAACTCTCCGTGGCACTTCCACCGTACTTCAGAGCAGCAAGAGAGGAAACAGCAGAAGGATCTCATGATTATGTTCAGCACAGTCAGACCAACGGGTATGGAATAGGGTTAGGACAGCGAGATTTTCATCAGATATACAAAGGGCACATACTGGTGGAAAGAAGGAAACTGCAGTAACCAGAAGACGCAAAGATCAGTGAGAGTTTTTGCAACCTAGCTAGGAAGAGGAGAGGCTGTAGTTGCAGAAGATAGCACCTTATTTACTACCAGAAAATGAGAAAAGGGTCCTAACTACAAACATCAAAATAGCGTGGGATCGGGATTTGGTATACCACTTATCTCCGTGACACAGAGCAGACTTCACTTAAATTTTTCGCACCTGGATGCAAATTCAACCTGAATATGTTGTTGGAAAAAGCAGCCAAGGAAGCTGAATCTCGCATTTTACTTCAGGTTCGTGCTTAAGCATTACAATAAAAATGGCTTACTGGAATCTAAAATGTCCAAAGATGATAACAAAGTAAGATATAGGTGCACCCAGAATACCTGAGCAGGCATGTGGAACATATTAAAATAGATTAGATGACAAGAAAAACAGATAATTACAGTGAATAATCTGCTATATGCAGCCAGTATACTTAATAGTGCACTAGAAAAGCACTCTTTGTACTAAAGAGCTTTAGATTCTAGACGATTTATAAATCAGAGATTTGTTTACAATCTGGCCACCATCTCTGGAGCCGATAGCGAGGGATGCGGCAAACAAGCATCCCTCTCAAAGTGGTATAAAAAGTTCTCTGTTTCACTAGATTTAAAACGTGCAATTATTCAGCTTATTGACAGCTGCTTCCTCTGGACACTAGAATTTCAGAGGAAAAAAATAAAATGCATTGTACGAATTCTGCTGTTAAGATAACTTACAAATCTACCAGGAATTCTCTCTTCAGTGTAGGTGACCTCTCGAGATATTCCCTATAGTGGCAGACGCTGAGCACCACACTAAATAACTCCTTGCCTCCGTGGCTACGTTCAGCCCCGAGAGATCTACAGTAAATAGCTCGGTGTGTATCAGAGCCAATTTATCAACCCTCAACCTTCACGCAAGGAGGAGAAAGGAGCACCCCTCTCTGCTCTCCCGCGTGGCACCCCGTGGGCTTCCAGGCAGCCGTTGCCTCGGAGCTGATGTGGAGCTACGCAGAGGAAACACACAACTTCCAGATCCTCTCTAAACTCACAACTCCCACCAGGCACCGAACTGAGAAAAGGAGAATCAGAAAAAACAAACTGACTCAAACCACATGCTAGCGAACATGATGCATAGCTGTAAAGCCTGGAAGAGAGAATGCCACAGGGAAATTAATGTTGGGAGGGCTGACCCGACAAGAAGTTACCAGGGGCCAAGGCTGCAGAGCACTTTGGAGGTACAGCCGACATCTGAGCCGTTTGCGAGGCGAAGGTTTGGCACGGCACCCCTCGACCCACAGCCACCAGTACCGTGCCGGGCCAACGCCAGTCCCGGGCATATCTTTAAACGAAACGCGACGCCGCGACAAGGCATCCTGAAGAGGTCCAAAATAAAATGAGCGATTCCAACAGAAATTTGGAATAAAGGTGAGAAAATTATATGTATTATAAATAAATAGATAGATAGATAGATAGATAGATAGATAGATAGATAGATAGATAGATAGATAGATAGATAGATAAATAAAACCACCCCACCCCACAATTAAAGCGCATCTTAACTCTTTGGAAAACCACAACCCCTTTTTTTTAAAACAAAACAAAACACAAACAAACTATCGGTTCTTAATTCCATGGGATTCAATATGACAAAACTTATCGAAACCACCGAAACAACCCACAAGTGACTAAGATATTTTCCTCGCTCAAACACACACACACCCACCCCCCGCACGCAGGTGGCGATGCCGAGCACCCGGGCACGGAACGGGTCCCGGCCCCCCGGGGACACCCCCCCCCCGCCTAACCCCGGGCACGGAACGGGTCCTGGCCCCCCTGGGACCCCCACCCTGACTAATCCCGGGCTCAAAACGGGTCCCAGCCCTCCGGGGACCCCGGCACCCCCGGGCAGGGCGGCGAAGGGATCCCCGGGGGGGCGGCGGCCCCCGCCCCGGGGTGGGTGCTGACAGGGACCCGGCCCGGAGAGGCGGGAAGGCAGCCGGGGGAGCTCTTACCTTCGCCGGCAGCCCGGCGTGGTCTCCGGCGGCAACGGCGGGGCTCTGCTGCTTTCCCCACAGATTCCCCGCCAGCCCCTCAGGGCTCCATGGCTGCGCCGCTCTTCCTCAGCCGGTTGCCGGTAATGGCAGCGGGGCGTTAGCGGGGAGCAAGCGGCGGTTTAAGCTATCGCGGGGGGGGGGGGGGGAGGACACACACCACTCCACCTGCCGGGGCTGCGCCGGCGGCTGAGCTGAGCTCGGCTGCGCCCCGCTCCCCTCTCCCCGCGGTGCCGGGCGGGAAGCGGGGCGGGATCGCCTCAGCGTCCCGCTTCCCGCCCGCCGCGGCGGGGGCGGTGTGAGGGGGCGAGCGGCGGCGGTTGGCGGGGCCGGCCCTTGAGGCGGGCGGGGAGCGGCGGCCGGTCAGACCCGCAGCGACCGCGGGGGGGGGGGGGGGGGGGGGCGGGTAGCGGCCCCTCCGGAGCCTTCGGCCCGGCCCTCTGCGGGAGCCCAGGCCCAGCACGGCCCGCCGCGGAAGGCGGGAAGGTTGTCCCCTCAGCCCCTCCGGGCCTCGCTAGCCGCGTTTGGCCAACAACCCTGTGGGATGAAGGTGAGCTCTGAGGGAAGAATCTGCTGCAGTTTGCCCGGGAACGAAGCAGAAAGCCGATTTATGGTTACCGCCGCACCCGCAGGGGGAGGAAGCAGCTCGCAACTCGCCTCAGGAAACGTTGCCTGAGGCGCGGAGCGGAGCCTGCCCCAGCACGGCCGTGGCAGAGGAACCACCGCTCCCCTGGAAGGTACGCACCGCCCTACACGCGTGGAAAGCCACGCCGGCAAACAAGCAGCTGCTTGTCTTAAAGCCTTGGCGATGGCAAAACGCCTCACGTCTGTCTGCTAAAGCCGCTGGCTGGTCACACCACCCCCAAACGCCCATGATGTGGAAGATAAGGATAACTCATTTTATACGGTTCCTTTACAGTAGGAATTTGTCTTTGATCCTAACAGTGATGCAAGATCTTTGGGTGTTTGATGTCTTTTATCAAAGGTCAAGTTTCTGAAGTACTGATGCGAAGCACTTAGTTCACATTTTAAGAGAGGAAGTTTCTAGTCTTCACTGTTGAGGAGCAGTATTTCAAAGGCTTAAAGAACCCCTTCCGACTCCCCAAACCTCAGACTACAAAAGTAAAATGTATTCATTATAAAACCTTTTGAATTAAGAGTTAAACTTGCTATTTGTGGATGACACACAGACCCTTGATTTTTTTCCAGGAATTGATGACTACATCGTCTGAAAACTGAACAGAAGGCTGCTATGTTGTAAGTCTTGCTCAAGTACCATCACATAGCGTCATATCCCACAGACCCACAGTACAGACCATACCCAATCTTGATAAACCAGTCTTTATGCAGGGCAGTGTAAAAGAACACTATTGAATGAAAGTTTTGTACCACAGAAAGAGGAAAAAAGATTGTCTGCATAGCTGTTTGGTTGCATTGTGGTAAAACTAAGAGTTAATAACTGCTTGATGGATTTTTGTAATATACAGAAGTTGCTTTTTAGCATACACAAAATTTCAAACTAAGTAACAACAAAAGTTCAATTTTCCCCTGCCCCCTCAAATAAGGACAAAATTATTTCTGTACATGTGGAGTAAAACAAATGTAAGACTGCTAACAGTGGTAATTCAAATGATGATTTTTGGGTACATACTGTATTTCCTTCATTACTTCATATTGCAAACAAGGGTGCAGAGGAAAGGCAATCTACAGGAATACCTGATGCTACAGCACCAGAATTTTTAAAGAAACTGAAAACCATTTCTGTAGGATGTTTGGAACCATTATAACTTAACACCTCATCCTTTCCTTCGCCAATAAAATACGGCTATTAGGCATTTACTAGCCTATTCAGTCTGAAGGCCCCAAAAAAGGAAGATTTGCACCACTGTATTAAACAACCCTTCCCGATGTTGTGGTTGGATGTGGAACTAAGGATGCTTATGTTTGGCCACAGGAGCTGAATTTTGTTATCGCACACAAAAGCGAGATGCCAGAGGCTGGGGCAACAGGGACTCCAGATGGGTTTTGGCAGAAAGAGGAGCTATCACCTTGCGGAGCAGCCAGCTAGGCTCTTGCCCCATGACCACCTCCAGTTCCTGCAGAGGAAGGCCACTGGTGCCATATGGCTTTATTAAGCAGCTGTCCAGGGATAGTTCACCCCCGTGCAAAGCACCGGTGGCCCAAGCAGGCCGTGTGGCAGCGCGTGCAGGGGCCCTGCTTGAGACAGAGCAGCGAGCCCTGGTCAGGATGGCACTGGAGGGCTGAGAAAGTGCTGGGGTGGCTTGCAGCCCCATACCACCCCCCATACAGATGGGCACGTACCTGCCTGCTCCGATACACAGGCTGTCCCTGCCCCAAGCCTCACCCTCAGGTAGAGAACACCTCCATTTTTGTCATGGGAAGGATGTGCTTTTGGGAAAGAATAAGGTGCACAGGTCCCAGTTTCTTCCAAAAGAGGCAAGCTAGACCAGCACCGATCTGGTCTGATCTTCTGCACTTCACAGGCCATTAGGTTTCACCAGTATCCTCCTGCTCAGTGTTGAGTATTTGACTAAAGCTTGTCTCCCAAAGTCACCCAGCCTGGGTTAAAAGATAGGACAGAGAAGTCACCACTTAGCAGTCTGGTCCTCTGGTTGCTCACTGACAATAAAATAAGCAGTTAACACTCCAAATTTTAACTTGTCTGACTTCCACTTTCAAACTGTGGTTCTTACGCCCTCCCCGACTAAACCAAAAAACTTACAGTGTTTTACATACTAATCAGGTCACTGCTTAATCCACTTTCTGATAAGCCAAGTAGATCAAACTCTTTAAATTCATTATACATGGCATCTTCTTCACTCTTCAAACATTTTAAAATTTTTTTCTAGGCCTCTGAAAACGTGCCAGTACTTTTTATAAAATTTGGGCTGCAAAACCATTTGTAGCAGGAGCAGTGAGTAAGAAGCAAGGTGACTTTACTTCCCCTCCCAGCGTCTGCTGCCTCGATCAGAGAGCCACGTGTAAGAAATCTGATCAGGAGTCTGGGGTGCAAGGGTGCTAAACTTTATGAAACTCTACAGTGAGGTCAGGTTCAGCAACCCTTGCCTAGATTCTAGATTTAATCTCTGTGGTTTAGGTTTAATCAAATCCTTGATTGTTGGGTATGGAGTATTTAAGGGAGCTATCTCTTAACTGTAAGCACTGAACATATATAAGTCATGGCAGAACAGAAAATTTTCAAATTGTTAAAAGAAACCTTTATCTTCTAGACTACAAGGCTGGGAAAATAAAAATCTTGCTCTTAGTCTCCCACAGCCTCCAGGCAGAACATACTATCTTGTAACTCCTTGGCAACAAGAAATATCAGTAATCTTGATTCAGTCAATGATTCCCAAACACTGACGAAGCTCCAAAGCCTAATAACAGAGAGCAGTGCTTCACCCTGATGGGAGGAGGACCTGGTCGTTCCTGCTGCATATCGGCTTGCAGCAGCACACTCAAATGATCCTCCTCTCTTCACAGCTCTCTGGCTTCCTGACGTCCTACTGGAAACTTGAATACTGATAGCAAAGGCTGATACAGGGAAGATGAAATTAAGAAACTCCTTAGAGCTCGTGCTGTGATCGTATCACAGGCTGTGTTATTCTTATCTCCCTCTGCTGAATCTGCCAAGTCAACTTCAAGCAGTCGTCCACGGCATTAAGATATTCCAGTGACCCTGAGCACTCACAATCTGCACCAGGACGGAATACTGAAAGCTGCAAAGCTTACTCTTCTTACACTGCTGTACTAGTATTTACCACATACCATTCAGGAGCACAAATTTTTCATTATCAAGAAGCTCTAAACATAATAAAGGACTTAATGCCCATAAATCTGACTGATATCCCGCCAGCCTCGTGAAAAGGCGTTGAGGGACTTGCACTGACCAGTGCTGTCTGATGAATGCCTTTGTCATTCCCCACAGACGCCTATTTAGCTCTGAAACACGCAGTAGTCGGGCAGATCCTGCAGATTCCCACTCGTGGCACATCAGGTTATCCAGCTACTGTTCACGGCCAAACCACCCTGTTCCTGTGAGAGTCCACAGAGAAGCTGCCTAAAGGCCACCGCAAGCGCGTTTCTCAAGCTAATATTCACAGCTCAGCCCAAATTTAGGCCAAGGCATAGAGATGAAGCAGTTTTACTGGGATTGATGAATTGGGCTCCTCCACTCAGTAGGTAGGAGGGAGGCATCTGTTCTCATTCTCCAGAGTCACTTCATGCTTAAACTTTTAACCCCGGGATCCCACTGCCTTCCGTACAGGAATTGGCAGGGTAATACACCGCAAGGCTTTGAATGCTTTCTGAAGGGGGACATCTGATTTACGTTGTTCCTCCATCACCAGACCTTTCACTTGCAAGTCCTCTACCAGTCAGGGACAGACATCTGATGGGAAACACTCAAGAGCCGGTAACAGAGGGGTGACGCGCAAGTGGCGAGTTCAGGCAGTAACCTGGGAGTATTTTTGGATGCACTGTTGACACTGAGCTCTCAATAGTCTGAGAAATGCTTTTCGTCATCTCGAGGTGACTTCTTACCATGTCTGTCCCATTCTGAGCTATGACTTGACTGCAATTATTTATGTCTTTGTCACTTCTTGGCTGAAGTACAGCAATCCACGGCACTTCAGAAACTCCAGCCAGTATACGGGACACTGCAGACCACCACCTCAGCAGCACCAGTAATCATCCCAGACTCCACTCAAGTTCCCCGTAAAACAAAAATCAAGCGCAGGGTTCTCACCTCCCCAGTCCTCTGTGCTGCAAGCCAAGTGTAGCCAGAAGGCTGCCCAGTAGGATGAAGAGTATTGCTGACACCTTCATCGGTGGAGGGATGGTACAGCTTTGTGGCCCAAAAGGAGAACTGTTTCAGGAACAAATCTGAGGATATGGAATGAATCAAGAAGTAAGTATCATTAAAAAAAAAAAAAAATTGCCAATTATTGCTCCATGTGAAGCGTACATTTCTTGGGCTTTGCTTTCTCTAGGATGGAAAAAAACAGAGCAATGTATATGTAAAAGAAGATGGGGGAAAAGTCCCACTTACCAAAATAGCACACTATTGCATCCATATTTTTTTCCTGAGGAGACTGAGAGGGAAAAAAAAATAACCTGGCAGATGTTACTAATTTCGCTTAATGCACTCGGATACTTTGGCGATAAATGTGATAGGAGAGCTTGTACAGAATAGAATAAATGGCTTCGATGAGGTACTGTCAAAACAGTAAAAAGAAGATATGTTTCTTATTAAAATAGGGAGTAAAAGCAAATGTGTTTTGAATGAGGACGGCTGATATCAGCAATGCTAAAAATAAGGGGAAGAAAAGGAGAACATGGCCCTTGCTCCACTGCCAAAAGAAAAATGAAGATTTTTCTGTCTCTGAGGTGAAATTAATTCCCCAATCTTTTCTTTGCTGGTTAGCTAGTTGGGTTGCAGTGGGAAGGTCATCACTGCCAGGAAGGTTTCCTGGTCCCTGCGGTTCCTACACCCTCCACCACTCCCCCCAACAGGCAGCACAGCCCCAGAATTTCCACTCAGATGACAGTTCACATTCTGTGGTATTTTGCACCGTCTTCTGGGTTTGTTCTTGGTTTGTTCCACCCTTCCCCCTGCAAAACTCCTCTTTCCAGAGAGGATCAGGAGACTTACCAGTACTGCCAACACCAAGCAGAGAAGACAGGCAGTACCTTCCCCCACATCGTCATCTTTCCTCTGTGCCCTCAGTTCATCCAACCCAAATGACTTTGTCATTGTTTCTTCTCTCCCATAAAGGTCTTGGTACCAGAAAAAGGAATTCAGGTGAAAACTGATGGGAGGCTGCAGACCACTAGGAGATTAACAGGACAGTATGGAAATAGGGGAAGGAAACAAATACCCTGAATAATGTAAGAAGTCAATGAATTAATTCATTGGGCAGAATTAATGAATGTTTGTGCTCCCATCTCTGTCTTTCCACTGCAGCTGAAACAGCGGGAGAAGCTCACAGATATCAAATAGGGGGAAATTAAATGGGGTATAACAGATGCTGTCTGTGCTCCTGTGATCAGGCAGTTAAGTTTACCCTGCACGTTTAATACCAGAAGTAGAAGAACTGTTGCTTTTGCTTTCAAGAGCTGCGAGAAGGCAGACTGAGGAAGGAGGAACAAGGTACAGGGCAGGCACTCCATCCCTGCTTACCTTCCTTGTAGTATTATTGGAAACCTATTTGTGAGAAATGCATGAAACAGTTAGCTGTGCTGTGAAGGATGCACTTCCTAGCCCTTCAAAAGTTCATTTGTGAGGCTGTTAACAAGTCTTTTCACTCTCAGGAATGGATGAGAAGACTGCTATTGATTCTCAAACCATTCATGTAAAAAGATAAATACAGCAATCCAGGCAGCCCCCCCCAACCAACAGACTAGCTTCCCTAGAAGAGATCAACTAGCTTCCTGTATGAAAAGGGCAGTAGCTTACTAAACCACAGAAGCTCATTTTATTAATTTTAAAATCCTCTAAAATGCAATGTAGTTTTTAAGCAGAGCCTACTGCTACGCAGCCCTAAAGCAAAGCCAACGATAGTATGCAACCACAGGAATTTCTCATTTATAAACCAGCATGCAGGTATAGCTTGCAGCAGCCAGGAGATGGGAAGCAGTGGTGGCATGAAAAGTTTCATCATAGTCTAAAGCCAATGAGGAGAATTATATGGAAGATTTCTCCTTCTGAAATAAGTTTGAAAACCAGATTGTTCTGCTTAAAGACAACAGCATTCCAGTGTAGAAGTAACATTACAGCACTTCCTGGGATGAGAGGCTGAGGTGGCTCTGACTCCCATTTTTCTCTATCAGCGGGCATCACGGGAATTCTTAGCCCTGGGGCATCACCACAGACGTGAGCTGGGAAGCACTGGCTGCCCTGTAAAATATATATAACAGAGCAGAAGAGAAATATCGGCAGGAAGGCGGATTATTTTGTGCCCTGTTTTGGCAAATCTGGGTGTTTCCATTGATTCAGTTCAAGTTTCGACAGCTTTCATAACAGGCCCAAAAGGTGCCACCTAAACCCCTACCCCTAAGGGATCAGGTATTGGTTTTCGCAGGGAGGAGAGGACAAGGCCATTTCTTTCAGGCAAATTATTGAGAAAGAAAACAGCTTATGTCACTCAGGCAGTGTGCTGCAGCTTCTCCCCAGCCTTGGCTGCGTACACCGATCAGTGCATGCACTTCACTCCTCTTCCTCCCCCTCAGCCACCCAGTATTTATTGACAAGATTGTCAGACACAGAGCTGATTCGGTCGACCGAGCCTTTTATGAATATCTAAATCCCTGAGAGGGTCAAAGTGGAAAGTGGTGGTCAGGGTCACAGCTGACACTCGCAGAGAAACCTGCTGGTGAATAATTCCGACCCTCACAGTGAGGACTCGCTGGCTGGCAGCCTAAAACCCAAGTGTTGCTGCATCCAGCCCGGTTTATAAAACTGTAGGAGGGAGGGCTGATCTGTTGGCTAGATGTTGATGAATTCTGTGAAAAAATAGCCACTAACAATATTTTTCAGCTCTTGCATAACAGCTAAGGCTAGAAGGTCCTTGTATTTTATGAAGGAACCAGCTAAAGTTTCATCTAAAACTGATCTGATCACAAGCAATACAAGTAACAAATACCAGAAATTAAGTCCTGACATTAAAGTTAGCATTCTTTATCTGTTGGGAAATGCTTGATTTTGTAAAGTGACAGCAATACAGCCACTTAGTTCAATTAAACATTAGTATTTTACACGGAATAGGAAAACAGGTTTATTTTGAAACAACTATTAAAGGTTCAACACTACTATGAAACACAGATTTATGGTCATTTATCTTTAACAGATAGTTACAGCCATAAATTTCAATGAAGTTTCAACCCATTCTCTCAGTGGGCCTTTCTCTTCCCACATGGATTGCAGAAAGCCAAAGTGATGATTCTTGCACAACCAATTCTCCATAAAGGAAAATAATGCTTTTGCAAAATATACCTTAAACTTGTTCAACTATCAAAACCCAACTGGACACAGTCCTGGGCCACCTGCCTTAGCTGACCCTGCTTTGAGGAGAGGGGTTGGACTAGACAATCTCCCGAAGTCCTTTCCCACCTCTGTTAGTCTGTGATTCTGTTCACACAGTGGTATTTCTGGCAGGATATTTGCAAATCACCAACTTAAGTTGGATATATGCTCATCCAAATAATCTATTCTGCGTACCATTGCCTTACAGCTGCTTAGGAGAAATCATTTTAAGTATACTTAAAAAAACAAAACAACAACAAAAAACCCCAAACCAGCTACTGCATTTTATGAGATTTGTGCCTGTTTTGTTCTAACATGGACCTTACCATTCCTCCAGGCAGAACTTCCAAGCCCCCATCTCGATGTTCTGGGGGAGACACAGCCCAGTGATTGCTTGGCAGATCTATAGTGATGAGACAGGCCACAGGCTGGGCTCAGCAAGGTCCCGGTCCCAGGGTGATGGAGCCCCAAACAAGTGCTCCTCCAGCACAGCCCAGCTGGGGACTGAGGCCCAGGGCTCAGTTTAGACCCACCCTGGGCAGGGGTGTGGGTAGAGGCCTCAGGTGAGGCTGGTCAGGGTCTTCCTTTCCACTCCTCACACGTGCCTGTGCCTTACAAAGGGATTTTGCTTTCTTTTGCTACCAGGAAAACCAAGTGCCATAAGCACGAGGCTACGAGGAAAAACAAGTCTCATAAGCATGAGGCATGTACTGCAGTCTCATCCCATCTTTCGTACTGCTACACATCATGAAACAGGCAATTTTCCTGCAGACTTTGGCCTCCCTTTTCTGGTCTTGGTCTGCAAGTCTGAGCCTAGACAAATGTCTGTGAGCTGACCTGTGACACTTTGTCTTGGAAGTCCAGAAGGTGTCTAGATGACGGGTCCCTACCACTTCACACTCCTTTCCTTCAGCTCTTGATGTGTTTTGATCAGCCCTGAAGAACGGGTGGCTCCAAACTGCCTGTTAAGGGCTACAGTTACATTTGGACATTGCAGGGTTTTTCCTGAGAGAAAATCAGCAGCAGGATGAACGTGTCCCCTTATGCTGGCTATTAGCGCTCCCACGCTCCTCACCCCTTTCTCCAGTTGTTCATCCCGACCGATGGCATCATTCCCCTTAGAAATCATGGCCTTTTGATGATTTGAGCCAACCTTCTGCTTTTCCTCTTCCAGGTCACTATACTTCATAAAGAGGGCACGGAACAGTTGTAGCTCTCTGCTGCAACCCGTGTCCCCTGGCTTGCTCAGTGCTGTGTGCTGTGCCAGCACCCATTACTATCACCCACCGTTCTCTACCAGGTGGGGTTTTTTCACTCCTTTTCTGCAGCTCACGTGCACACACACACACACGCACACAAACTCACAAACCCAGAGCACAGCCCAGGTGACCTGCGTTTCATGCCCAACCAGCTGAAGCCCTCGGTAACCCCCAGCCACCGGCAGAAGGTCTGCGTGGACGCGCGGTGTTTGCACAGCGGCGGCAACCGTCGCAGCTCAACCCTCTTCTCCCGGGAGGCTGCTCCGGGTCAGCACAGCCAGCGAGCCTGCACCAGTGCTCCTGGGCTGTCGGCAGCGGCGTGATCTGTGGGGTTGATCAGGTAAATGCACGGGGAGGTCATTTTTCTCCATGTAGAGGCTTACAAGGACAAAGTCTTATTTAGCTTTCTTGTTTGCATCTAGGTTGTTCACTAGATTTAGAAAATCACGTCCAAAAAGTGTGTCTAATTCAGTCAGGGTACAGCTCCACTAACATAACCAATTTTACAAAACAATTCGTTTACTAGGCTCAGCTAATTAACATCGGCTATCTAAAAACATACCAAAGCAGTAGCCATTTAGACTTTAGACCCTAATCCTGTGAATTTTTTTTTTTGCGTGTGAAAAAAGATCTCAGATTGTCAAGAAAATTTCCACTGTCTTTCACACATTACATTTTGCCTACAAAAAAAAAAAAAAAGGCAAATTTTTAAAACAACAAGAAAACCTGCTATGTTTTAACCTGACAATAACCTATCCAACAAAAAAGAAAGTAGAGGAAATCAAGATTGAATAAACAACAGCTGTTGAGCAATGAACATCAGCCAAATCTCTGATCACTTTAATGGCAGGCAAGACAAGATGCAGGTTGGGACCCTAGCGGTGTGTATTAAACTCAATTCTAATGATTTGTTTTGCTAACCTACGTGGCAGCAGTGGAAATCTTTGCTTTCGGAAGACCCCCTGTATTCTCCTGCAGATTCAGCGGCAGCAGAGTGGAGTGCTAAATACGGGGCCAGCTGCTTTAGGTCTGCTGGTGATGGAGGAAGCAGGACGGAGGGTTTTAGCAGTGGAGGCTGCAGGTGCATGGTCAGCTTAGCAAATGTGCGGCAAAAATCTGTTCTCCCAAACTCACGCTGTCTGCATCATCATCAAAGCAGGATTTTTCCTTCCTTTGCTGACGGCAGCCGGGCGGGCTGTGAGGAGCTCGATTCTTGCTGGCATTTGGCCCTTCTCAGCTGCCTCAGACCCTGACACTCGCCCGGCTTGTGTTTCTGGGCGCTGTCACCCCTTCACGGTTCTGGGCAGCACCGTGAAGGTGTCGCAAAGCAGCACTTGCATTGAAATATAACTTCAGATACGCTGAATTTAGATCTCTGCAAAAGCTGGTGCAGTTTTAACCTCGCTAATGCAACCATGTAGCAGCGGCTGCTTCAGCTAGATAGCTCCAAGTGGTTTAGAGGGCAATCTGTTAAAACCCCAGATAGGAAATTGGATGTTAGTCATTGTTGAGTGATAAGGACAGGGCTCCTAATTCAACACCTATTTTCATATCCAACTAATCGGAAAAAGAGCAAAAGGGACCCATAGTTAAGACGAGAAGCAAATAAAATGTGGTCTGTGTTTTCAAAGTGCATTTCCAAACCCTGTGAATTGAAAACAAAAAGAAACCCAGCAAACATCCTTCATATTAGATAGAGTTGGAGGAAGAAATCTCTTTGTGGCCATCTCCCCTCCTGCTCCAGGCAGAAGAAATTGTCAGGGCATGCGGGAGGGGAGCTCGGGCCACAGGGCCCCTTCCTGTCCCGAGCTGAGGGGCGAGCCGCTCCCCGCTTAGCTGGGAGCAGCGGCTGCACAGCTCTGCAGCTGGTGTTTGCATGACCACACAACGGAAAGCAGAGGGATGGCAAGCTGTTCTAGCAAAACAGCATCAGGTCTCTGCAACTCGCTTTTGACATTAGGCAGGCAGAAGACTAAATAATTATTTCACTGCCAGGCTCTTCTGGCCCAGATCTTTAATCATCATCTGAAGCTTGAAATAAGTCTCTGAGTGTTTCTTCCCAGCACAAGTTCCAGCCTGCGCTGTGTCTCCTGCCCACCTAGTCTCCCGGCATTGCCTTGCCAGCTTTGATTTGGGAGCATTAACAGCGAGTCTGTTCCTTGGCTTTCCCATCACATCCACTCTTCCTCACAAAGTGACACAGCTGACAAGCTGTTGGTTTCAATATTGAAATGAGTTTCTCTGCTGAGAAGCAGCTTTGTAAAAGTAGCACCAGAAAGTTTTGCCCTCGTTACCTGTCCTGAATGCTGTGCTCAGGTGTAAAGGCATAAATGGAGGTTTTAAAAGTAACTTTCGGGCGATAGGAAATGAGCTTCATTTGCATTCAGAAAGGACCCAGCTAGGACTATGCAAAGAGGCGCTGCGCATTGCTGGGGGGAAGAAAGGCAAGACAAGACACTCTAATTACAGCTGAAATACGGAGGTGTGCACTGCCATGACCTTTATCATAGCCAGGCCCCACTCACCCCAGAGACCTCGCTGTCTGCCGCTTTTCATCAACATTAAAAGCCCCCCAGGATCTCCTTTCCTCCACCTCTCTTCATCATTTGTTTTGCCATTCATTCCCTAGCAGCAGGACACTGCATTATTTCATAAGCCATCAAGACTGATTTTCAGATCTCCTAGCGAGAGTTTCTCAGTGCCTTTCCCTGCGTTGCTGATGACAGCTCTTGCATAAGAAGCTCCTGATGGGTAGTAATTAATTAGAGTCTAACACAGACAATTCACTTTTCTTTTGTTTAGCATAATTACTGAACAGAAAGACACCTGCCAAAACCAAGCGGTCTTCCTTCCTTCCATCCATCCCTCCATCCCTCCATCCATCCCTCCATCCATCCCTCCATCCATCCCTCCATCCATCCCTCCATCCATCCCTCCATCCCTCCATCCATCCCTCCATCCATCCCTCCATCCATCCCTCCATCCCTCCATCCATCCCTCCATCCATCCCTCCATCCATCCCTCCATCCATCCATCCCTCCATCCCTCCATCCATCCCTCCATCCATCCCTCCATCCATCCCTCCATCCATCCCTCCATCCATCCCTCCATCCCTCCATCCATCCCTCCATCCATCCCTCCATCCATCCCTCCATCCATCCATCCATCCATCCCTCCATCCATCCATCCATCCCTCCATCCATCCATCCCTCCATCCATCCCCCCATCCCTCCCTCCATCCATCCCCCCATTCATCCCTCCATCCATCCACACGGGTGCTGTGTATTTCCAGTTTGGCTCTTCTTGAAAGGAAATTATTTTTGTGGGGCCTTTTGGTCTTCCCGGGGCCGCGTGCCAGCAGCGCAGCGCTCCGCTGGGAGAGCCACAGTGCTGCCACCGCGTCTTTGTCAGCAGCAGCATCTGGCCACCGGCTCAGCTGCTGAAATCTCAGCCGTTTATTGTTGCGCGTCGGAAAAATCTGTACGCACACCAGGGCCTATGGATTTCATTCCAACCTTGACAAAATTAACTCCTGGTGCTTTCCCAGCAGAAGGAAGACTGGAGGAATGGGGTCCTTCCAATTATGGAATTTAAATTACTTTTTTCTGCACTAGGGAACACATAAACTGGAATACCCACATAGATATTCCGGTTTGGGTCTGGGTAACTATTTGAAGTGTGTATTGCTCACTTCTGTATTTTTAAATCACCTCCCTTGGCCCTTTGAACGCAGCCCAGGGTGCTGGGGGACTTCCTTGCCCCTGGAGCACATGGCTGGCTTGTGGGCAATGGGGTGTCCACCAGGACCCCCAGACCCTTTTCCACTTTCCAGCCAGTTAGCACCCAGCCTGTACTGGTGCTTGCGCTGGGCAGGCGATTCCTCCCCAGGGCAGGACTTTTGTGTTTTTCTTTGTTGAACTTCATGAGGTTCCTGTCATTTCTCCAGGTGCGTCGGGCACTCCTCCACCCGAGCGCGCGTCCGGTGGGAGACCTGGCTGGACAAGGAGCTGCTCAGCTCTTGCAGGGAGAAATGGGGTCACTCTTGCCCTGCGCAGATTTGGGGGGCCAGTAGCTCACTGACAGGCTAAAGGCTCTTGAAATGTCCTGCAAAGCTGGCAATTTTATTACATAAAAGTAGTTCTGTGTTACTATGAAACACTGACTGAGTCGGCACACTGAGGTTTAACCGAGCAGAACGAATCTCGCCGGTAGCAGCAATAGAAAGTCAGACCCTGCGTCTCAGAGAGACACAGGGATGCTCATTGTGGGGGGTCTCCTCTCCCCCAGCCAGCAGTGACCTACGAAAAAGAGAGCAAGTTTTTTTTTTGGGGGGGGGGGGTTGGCTGGTATAGCGGAGCGGCTGGAGGCACGCAGGGGCCTGTTCTTCTCTGCCACCCGGCCACCAGCTCCCTCTGTGTGGAGCGGCGTTGTGTCCCACGGGCTGGATCCTCTGCCTCCTCCGCGGGGGGAGGTGAGGGTGACGTGCAGCCTCCCAGCAAAGAGGAGGTGAGGAAATTAAGTACAACTTCTGTGCAAAAAGGAGAGATGGAAATAGCTGTTTGTACTCGGCAGCTCGGCCCCAGCTGGTCAATCTGCTGAACTTGCCACGGGATGGAAACCACCAAATTTCACCTGCAGGTCTTCTAAATACAAACTGCAGAAAGGAAGAAGGCAGTGCACTTCCAGAGTTAGCACCTGTTACCCCCCGTAAAGGCAAGACAGACTCCAAAAGCCATCGTGCTCTGGCCATACCCTGTCATGCTGCGACCTCCCTGCACTTGTCAGTAGGGATAAGTGATGTCAGTGGTAGTTTATTGCAGTAAAACTAGAATAAAGTAGGATAATGAAACCAACCGTTATATTTGTGTAGAATATTATTACTCACAATATTCAAATAACTATAAAAACACACTCCCAAAGTGCATGAAGTTGTACTATTTATTACGGACAACCTCAGAATACATTGGATTGAAATCTCCCCAAATTAATACTCCTCCTTGATATTTATTTTTTATTTTTTTTTACAGAGACACACATCCAAGGAGCGTGTCCCATCTCCTCCTGTCCCCCCATCCCCACCGACCCAGCAGCACAGTCCCTCGGCAGGACCAGCCCCGCTCCCCTGCGGCCGGCGGTGAAGGTTTTGGTAAGCACGGCCGGTGGGCGAGGGCAGGGACCCGCGAGGCTCTGGGCAGCACCACTTTTATTCAGAGACATGAGAAAAACACGAGACCTGCCCCCCCTGCAGCAGAGACAGCCCGTGGGTGCGAGTGCCCCAGGGGGACACTGTCCCTCTCGCGGGAGCGCAACAGATGTTGGGGAGACAGCGGCTGTAAAAGAAATATTTGAAAAGGTAATTTTGCCTTTCTGTGCTTATTTAAAGGGAAAAAAAAAAAAAACAAACAAAAAAAAAAAAAAAACCAAACCAACCTAACCCACAACAAACTAGCTATGAATTTCTTAGGAAAGAACAATTTTCAGTATTTTAGTGCTTGTCGCCACCGGTCCCTCTTCCCCTCCAGCTGCAAATCTGCAGGTCGGCGAGGGGACAAACACACACCCAGGGGCTTGTAAAGTAAAATAATAATGTAACGGCAGAGCGAGGGGGCGACTCCCAGCGCTGCCTTTGTCAGCTTGCTCCAAATAACACGGACACCTTGCAGCGTCTCCTCATGGGTGAGTATTTCACTCAAAGCAGGGAAGAGAATGCCCAAACGGCACGAAGGAAGGAGGGGTCTGAGCAGGGAGAAGGGCATGAAATCCACTCCTTCTGCCAGTTAGTCCCGCGGACGCGGGAGGCCCAGGTGTGTGTGCAACAAGGGAGCCAGATCATCAATTCGTGGGCTCATTTTGGTTGGAAAAGACCCTTCAGAGCACCGAGCCTGGCAAATGGGGACACCGGCCCCCCATTCCTCAGAGCTTGGCCTTGCCTGCACCCTTCAAGAGCCAGCTGAGGGAAATCTTCTCTATTATACAGCGACCCCGGTGTCTTCAAGGTCCCATTCCAGTAAAATGCTAAGTGAAACTCTAAAGATTTTTCCCCAATTAAAAAAAAAAAAAAAACAAAACAACACATCCATGATGGAATTCATCAGTGGGAAATCCCAGGGGGTGGGACTGGCTCTCGCGGACTGCTGGCTCCCACGCCAGGCAAAGGCTGGCTACAACAGGCAAACGCTAACATCAACAATAAACAGTTTATTCACAAAAATAATTACAATGTTACTATGACACCGTTAAAATGTGGTGTTTCGAGTTACACGCTCATCAGCGGGAAATAATTACCGTAACTGCTCCGGAAGTGAAAGCCACGTACAGAAAAGAAATTAGTTCCCAGTTTATGCAAGGGGAAAAGAAAAACCCAAACCCCCATTTCACTGCAACCTTTCAAACCCAGGGCTGGCTGCACAGGCTCAGAGACAGACTAACAATCTACACACGTACAAAATATAAACCCCAGTTTCTTGCCGCTTCAAACATCAAGTGCAGGTTTGTTTCTATGTTTTTTAAAAAAGGGGGGATTTAACTGTAGCTGCAAGTGACAGGTAAAATGGATGATGATGCATTTGATTAATTTTCAGAAATAAATGAGCTATGCTCCTGAATGCTCTTCAAAGTTAATTTGCAAGAGCGTAATGTGAGGGCTTAATATGTTCTTTGGAAGCTGCACATGGTTCCTCCGAATTGCTTGTTCAGTTTGAATAGTCCAAATTGAAAGGGCCTTTTCCAGTGGGTATGAAGCCATGGAAAAAAAAAAACAAAAAAACAAAACAAAAACAACACAAAAACAAAACAAACCCTCTCCCTCCCACGCCGACCACGGCCTGACCCTCTTCCCTACTTTCTCCCCTTTTCTTGGCAGCGACTTCCCAGGTCTCTTGCCAAGACGGGGCCGGAGCCTGGGAGAGGCACCAAGCGTGGGCTCCTGGCTCTGTTCCATTTCCAACAGCCTCGTGTACACAACTCCCAGTACAAACCACTCCCCCCAGTCCCTTGCTCCCTGGCCCTCGGCGCCCGCTGCCTCCCCGGGCGGTCAGTCCCAGGGGGGCAGGAGCTCCTTATTCTGGCTACGACACTCCAGCTGCCAGCACAGAGTTTTTCTGCTCTGGTAACTTTAATTCTAAAGGTGTATTTTAAATTCTCCAAGAAATGTTCCTGAAAGGGGGGGTCGTGCTTGCAGATATAATTACTGTACAGCATTTAAAGTTCCCATGCACTTAATAAAATCTTAAAAATCAACGCTCAAACCCGGGACAGGTGCAAGCAAAGCTCCGCTGCTGCGGGAGGAGCGTGTCCCCAGCGACCCGGCGCCCACTGCGCCAGACACGAAGCCCCCCGAGAGAAGGCAGGAGGGCTGGCTGGTTTCTGGGGGGAAAAAACCCTCAAAAGGCCTTTGCCCAGGCACCCTACCTGCCCGTCTTTGTCTCACCCAGGAATAAGAGATTTTGCTCCTGCGTAAAACACGTCTACCGGCTGCCCTGCAAAAGGAGACGACCACTGTAAACACAGCCGGTTATCTAACGGCACGGGAAGCGTTGTGCTTGGTTAAGCAAATTGACCTGAAGTTGAGGGAATAATAAAAATATAACGGTGAGGAAAAAAGGTGGGAGCTGACCCCAATCTCAATGTCCTCTCCCAAAGGCAGACGCTGCCGGCGCTGGAACCGTAAGCGGAGAGCGGGGCAGAGGCAGGCGGCAGCGGATGGCGGGCTCAGGGCAGGCGGGTTTTGGCTTCGTATGAGAGCAAAGAAAACTGCAAACCAGGACAACGTCCTTCCGAGATGGATGGAAACGCCTGACGGAGCCAGCGCTAGGAAAGGCGTCTGGAATAAACCCGTACAGCCGTGCCCGGCCCTGCGTTCACCTGCACCATCAGAAACTTGGGGCCTAGAGACAGGGCGGGGAGGTTGCTTCAGAGAAGGCACGCCTACACTAAGGCATTAAACTGCTTGATTCTACAGTAATTATACATAAAATCTTTGAAGCAGCTAATATTTCCATATTTCTTACCTTCACAGCAGGGATTTCTGTAACTACATCAATTAGTTTTTCCAAGGAGCAGCCACTTGCTCTGGCCAGTAGGAAAAAAAACCACCATCGGGGTTGCAGAGGCGCCCGGGACAGGCTGGACCCCCGAGGGTGGCAATGTCTGGGTGACCACCTTTCCATCGAGGGAAGACACCCCGCATTTCTTTTTTAACACAGCAACGCCGAGGCAGGAGTCACAGCAAGTCCAAGCTGCAAACGCGCGCTGAAAATCAACGGGAGCTTTTAATTTCTCAAGCAAGACGATCTTCAAGCGCAATTACAACATTTTTCCGGAGACGCTGTAATTAAAGGAATCCGAACCTCGTGATGAATTAAGTTTATTATTCCAGCCTACGGCGAACTGCGCCGCCCTTTTCGCTTCCCGGCAGCAGGAAGTTTGAGCGGGGGGTTGCGCTGCAGGTACCTTCGGACTCGAGGGGATGGTGGAGCTGGGGGACAAACCAGCGGGAGAGGCAGAATCCGACAGCCGAGTCCTTCCCGGGGCACCCTTAGGAGGTTGTGCCACATCAAGTTCACGTACCAGCAGGAGGGAATTTCTTTTTTTCCCGATGGATTCCAAGTCGCACGGTCACGTGTGTGCTCATCGCAGCGTTACTCCTGGAACTCCACAGGAACCTTCCGCCGCGTCCCCGCAGCCCCCAGTCACTTTTTCAAGCAACAAGGAGTTTTGGATACTTACACAAAACATCTTTTAATTCCCGCCCCCCCCAATAATATTTTTGAAACAAGTACATGAGATTTGTGTCATATTCAATATGCAGAAACAGAGACCCCCAGAGCAAGAGCCCGGCTGGCAGCTTGTTTGAGAAAAAGCAGTGGGGTTTTTTGTAAAGCTTGGCTTAAGCTCAAAGTGCAGATCTACACTTGCTTCGGTCCCTTTGGCTCCATGGGATTTCTTATCATTAATATTCAAGTGTTTCCACCCCTACCATTTACTATTGTTGATGGGGTTTGCCCTTTTAATTGTCTGTATAAGTTTTACAGGAATTTAGCTTTGGAATGCACAATATATTCATCTTTCTTAGCTCCCCAAAATAGTCCTTTGAAAAGGCACGTGTACAAAAATATTTCCTAACTATGAAGTAGAAAAAATATATTTGGCTTGCAAGTACGTGTGGGTTTCTTTACCTGCTTATCCCAGAAAATACAGCTGAGATACAAGATCTAGTTTTCCTCCCATGTGAAGCTTTTCAGCTGAGCAGAGCCGGGCTCCTGAAGGCAAATCAACTTCTCCAAGTCCATACAGACAGGCTAGCACACACTGAAGATCAAAACTACGGGATCCCTGCATCCAGTTACTGCCTTTCCTACTGTGGGCTCTTCGGAAAGGCCTTTGGAAGAGATGTTGGCTTTGCGGCAGTACCTTTTGTACTAGAATCTCATGTTCAACAACAAAAACGTGGCCGTTTTACTTCCAAGTACATCATTTTGTGTGATTAACACCCCACAATTAATGTAGCCGCAAGAATTTTGATTCCCTTCCTCTTCCTGCAGTGCCATTAAGTCTTTAGCTACTGGAACCTTTACGTCTCTAGGGAGTGGTTTATACCCTGAGGCACCGTTCAGCACACGTCTCTGACCTCACAGCTTCTTTTACAGCTCTTTGATGCTACCGAGGAATATTTTCAATTTGCTTTAAAAGAGACCCTGTAACAGCAGCCACAGATTTGCCATCATTGGTCAGGGCCTCCCTTTCAACAACAGAAATACAGCGTTCCGGCGGCTTTTTCACATGGACCATCTGTGCACTCACAGGCTCAATTTAACACAGGTGTCAGCTAAGCAGTAAATACATCAGGATTTTGGAGGGGGAAAAAAAAAAAAGCCTAACAAATATATTTAATATTTGCTATTTGTACAGTGACCACCAGTTCCAGTGGATACCCACGTCCCACAGCCTGGCTCGCTTTGAGCCGCCGGTGGCTGCAGCACATCCAGGTCAACTCTGCAGCACTCGGTGTCCCAAATCATCCCCAGGGAAATGACACATTCGAACTTTTTCCCCCACAAAAAACACCACACGTACATATTTCAATCTACATATTAGGTCGCTCCTTTCTATCTTGCCCTTGGGGTCCCTAAGCAAACCCTAAAACAAGAACAAGCTCTTTCAAGACAGTTTGCTGACGCGGCTGAAGAGATACTTTGCTCCTGAACAGAGAGAAGAAATGTGCGTGGGGGTCTGTGCCACCAGCAGCCTCCCTGTGCTCACCCCTGTGGAAAACACAGTCCTGCTGGCCAACACTAAATTGAAAGAAGCCCGCAGCTACAGAACAGGATGCGACGCCCCCCCCGGGACTGCAAAGGGCCATTCAGTAGATGTGTAGGAAAGGAAACGTGCTCCTTTGGTGTGCAGCGCTGGAATCCTTCCCAGCCCTCGACCCCGTCTCCTCCACCTCTCCTCAGCTGGAGGGAGAGTCTCTTGTCATCGCCGAGGACACCTGGAAGGTGCTGCTGTGCCCTGCCCGCGGACCAACGCCGCGGCAGCCGGCTCCCCAGGCTCGAGGAGCTGCCGGGGTCGCATCCCACCCGAATGGCGCCGAGTCCAATTTCAAGTGCAGGTCTCCACGGGGGAGCTCTGACATACCTGACAGGCGTCAACAACAGGTCATTTGGCACCAGAGGCTAATCTGAACACCGGCAAATCTCTAAAGGAAGGCCCCGCGTTTGAACATCGGGTCAAGAAAGGGAATTTCTTCCTCCTAAAATCCCGGTACTCCAATAGAGAACCAGTTACCCAGCTTCAAAACAGGAGCGGCTCCTGAAAGAAGTCAGGAGAGGGGAAAAACAAGGGAAAGTATCAACACCTAAAAACCCATTAAGCGTATCAAATGACGGTGTGATGACTTAAGAGTTTTTCTCTGTGGTCTCTTGCACCTTGGCAGCAGCCATCTGAAACTGCGGCACATACGGCACGATGGCTTTGTACTGAAGGCTGCTTTGGACAAGCACGTTTAAATTCGGCGGCACGTGCTGAAGAAACCCCACATCTTTGAGTAGATCGGCTGTACGGAACTGACACATCACCCCGGAGCTTTCGGTTAAAAAAAGGTCATTTTCTCTTTTCTCCAGCGATGCTATCCCTAGGTAACACAGGCTCCGCTCAGGACTACCTCTGTCTGTGAAAGCGTCATCCTGATCTGAAGGCTCTGAAAATCCTTCTGAAGAAATAAGGGAAAGAGTCTTGCTGGGCGGCCTGCCGGGCGGGTCGGGTAGGATGAGGAGTGCCCCGTTTCCCGCCTCCCAGGAGCTACTGGCGAAGGCACCTGGGACTAAGGACTCTTCGGCTAAGCAGCACCTCTCAAAACAACTTCCCAAATTCACTTGCTGTTCATAGAGCCCACCTGATCTGGAGTTACTGACAATAGTAGCGTATTTAATATCGGCCTGCCGGGTGCTTTCTCCACCGGGTTGGTCATCACGGGAGCTCTCAGAGAAGCTGCTACTATTGAAACGGCTGCTAGAGCAAGCAGAGTCGCGTTCAGAGTCCTGCATTTTTGTAAACATTGAATCAATTACTAAAAAATCTTGCGTGTCTTCTTTTTTCAACGCTTTAGTAACACTGATGTCTTCCAGCACTATTTCTGGTTCCAGAAGAAGAGGCTCAAATGACATTGCTTCGGGGTGCTTGATTAAAAGATGCTCAAAAGTTTCAGGCTAGAAGAAAAGATATATTTTAGTGCTCATCTATTATTTAACAGCTTTATTGCAGTACAAAGCTACCGCTTTTAAGAATCGCAGACAAAACCCCCACGCTTTTCGTACGAGCATATAGTTGAAAATCCTCCAAAACACATTCCCTCCTTCCTTTATGTCTGTGTGTAGGTGAAGATTGAGGGGCAAGACAGAAAAAAAAAAAAGAGAACCTGTCTGTGTGTCAGGTGCTGCAAAGCGAGCGTGCCGGGAAGCGCTCGGTGCTGCGCCCAAGCCAGCGGGTCACTCGGGCTGAAACAGAAGCAGCTGAACCGTCCCCGCTCATTTCCACATTAATCAACATGCACATATTGTTAAAAACACACGCAAGTGCTTCGCAAGACTAAGGTCTTACACCCTTAGGTGACCTTGGCTTTTGTATTTAGATTGTATAAACAAGAGCCTTAATCATTTCCATGTCAACTAAAGCCACTTTCCGTGCTAGGATTACATTATTTAGGGTCAAATTCAGCCTTTCTGTAGTAGGGCACCTGAATAGCAGCTGTGTGCTTGAACTGCATGGAGAGAAACACACATTTAATTTTGAGAATTATTGCTCAAATTATTTTGAGAATTGCTTTACTACTACCTAATATATGCGTGTAAAATATACAATAGCATGAACTGACAGCAAAACTGGAACTCCTAGCTACAAAGGAAAATTCTCTATAAAATACATTTCCTAATGAGTTCAAGACAAAACAAATAGATAAAAACAGATTTTGTGTATATTAGCAAACCATATTTTACCGCAGGAAAGCTGCCAAAACAACCAGGAACGTGTCAAAATACTTAGACTAGTATACAATTATAGAAAAGAGTAGACTAACTTGCGTATCTCAGGCGGCTACGTTGGGCCAGGCTGGCGCTCAGTAACGCCTGTGCCCGCCCGGGGCAAAGCTGGCGAGCAGGTTTCCCACGGCTTCGGGCCACCCCTTCCCACTCCAACACCGACCCGCCCACTGCAATCTCTCCCGGTCTTCAAAACCACATCGATATATAATTAACCAGCTACTGAAACGAGCCGGAGGCTGCTACGATCGGGCCGTAATCCGTCGGGATTTCTACCGCCCGGCGAGGGGCACCTCCTGCTGCCGCCGGTTCGCTGGGACGCGCCGCGGCCGCTGCCGCGCCGAAGGGGACGGACACTCCGCCCAGCGCGCCCGGCCCGCCGCGGCATTTTCAGCTAGGAGCCATACATCAGCAGGAAGCTTTGGAACGACCGCACCCCCCCTTGATCCACAAGAGCCCTCCTACAGCCGGCAGCTGGCTTATGCTGAGCAGAGGTGGTTTGTATCCCTTCCAAAAATCTCCCTGCTCCCTCAGCCCAGCCCCCTGTCTCTGCTCTCTAAATGCACGTGGGCACCACAGGAGACATACAGATGATAAATACCGCCTGCAAAGATTAAGTACATCACATCCAAAGACAGGCATGTTGTTTGGCAAAGGCCGCCGTCTGTCAACTCGGACCCATCACTTATTAAAACACATCAGATATTTAATCAAACGCAACGTGTAACCCAACATCCTGAGAAAACATAAAACTCCGGCGCATCGGCAATCCCAGAGTGAGCCGGGTGAAGAGCGCTGGATTCCCGGGGTAGGTGTGTGGACGGTACCGTTCGGGCACAAACCGCGTTAAACAACAGGCAAAGCAGGAGAAAAGTCACAGCCTCAGGTCAGCGGCTCCCAAACCCGGCCGGCCGGGTGAACGGAGATCCAGCCAAGCGAGGAACTGCCAGCAGCGCCGTACCCTGCTCTCCTCTCCAGCCTCCGTTTGAAGTTGTATTTGGCGCTGCAGCAACAGGCTCCCGCCGAGCTGCGAGCCAGCCACCGCGCCCGAGACAGGCTGGAGTCAAAATCACTTGGCACTCCAGTTGCTAAACACGGATCTATCAAAATATGCTCTGCCACGGCCAGACCAGATTTTGACTTTCACGTATATTTAACTTCACACATTGCACATCAGCCCAGGGACATAGTAGGGTAATTTCGATATGCTGAGTCTTTGCAAGACTGATACTAATTTCCCTGTAAAATATCTGTAGTTGTGTTTAAGTCATTTCCCCAACATTAAGTCCTAAAGCTTTTTATTTACTATTTTATTGAGCAAATAAGAGGCATTTTTATGATTGTGACATTATGCGTACACGCAAATGCTTGCAAGACAGAGCCTAGGTGCAAGCCTTGCCTGTTTTAGATCATGATTTTGACCTGTCGCTGCTGTGAGCCATACAATCAGGATAAAATAATTCTGGGTGAAATGCAGTTCTGGAGTACCAGATGGGCTATACTGAACATACAAAGTAACGATCGGATGTTGACTCAAGGATTTAATGATACGCACCAGGACAAGTTCTGCATCAAATGCCTTCAGAAAGACATCAGAACTTTCCAGTAGCGGGGGTGAAAGCTATTTATGTAATCAGCTAGAGAAACTAAGGAAAAAATACCATACGTGTACTGTACGTGGCTTTTTCTACGGGAAATCCCAAGCAGGATTTGGCCCTAAAAACACAGTTTCAAAGAACAGGTTCAGGCCTTGGACACTGGTGAAGCGAGTGGGAGCTGATCACGCCGATGTGAGGACAGGCACTGCGCCTTCCGTGCAGCAACGCTTTCCAGGAAGATGAGCACAACGCACGGAAGGGGCACGCTCTCTGCCGCCTAACAAGCTGTCCAAAACCCTGTCAGCCTTGCCATTTCTTTCTTATTTGCATGCATCATTTCTTTGCCATTAATTATGGAACAAGGCACATGAATAATGAGCAGTATCGCCAGGGTGTCGGCTTTACTCTCCTTTCCTGGTTAAAATTTCATCAACGTTAATACACTTATTTTGGCTCTACCTGTCGACGAGAAGAATCATTTCCAACGTGCTGAATCCAACATGCAAACTTCTGCAATCGGGGCCAGTGAGGATTGTCACAACCTCCTTCTGCTATAGATGAAAAGACCGACCAGACAAATAGAAGTGCGGCGGTGCAATTTGTACTCCTGCAATTAAACAGCTACTGCGAGAGCCCGGCCCTGCCCAGGATGGGGCCAGGGAAGCAGCTGTGTCAGACTGGGCTGGGATTTAACCCCTGGGTGGGTGGAACACGCTTCGCTTTCTCGCCCAGCTTCCCAGACTCCACCAACGGCAGCCAAGGCGCAGAACCCGCCTCCTCACTCCATCCGACCGCAACCGCGTCGTCCCCAACGGAAGGATTTCCGAGGAGCTTCATTTAACATTACAACATAGTGCATCAGGGAAGTATGTACTTTAGCACATTAAAAAGCCACAAAAAATTGTAAGTAAAAAAAAAAAAAAAAAAAACAAAACAAAACAACACTCAGAAACTGCCCTAGCCCCACCGAAACCAGATTTTCCTTGAGGATTTCTGGCTTGTTTTTTCAAACATGGATCTAACGTTATTCAGGCATCTGCACTGATGTGGCTGCAGGTTTAAAATGATAACAAATGAAGAAACCGTAAGAAATAATATGCACACTGGTATCTTCAGGAAAAAGCAAGCAAGCAAGCAAACAAACAAAAGACCAGTGAGGTGCAACACACACCCAGTTTTGGCATTCCCTGAGTTGCTGCTGCACCCAAATGCGTGTAAAAAGGTCAGGAGACCACGACGGGACAACCAAGTACTTGTGTAAGTAAGAGATCTGATCACTTTGATGTGCCTGGGGTCAGTGAAAACTCCCGAGCTAGCTCTCAGTTAGAACAAATAACGAGAATGAAAGACCACTCTGAAGTGAAGTCAATAACTGGGCAGATCTTGCACTCAAGCTGGGTAAATCCCACAGCAGCCCGGTGTCTCTGCTTCCACGGCTGCATCCTGGGAAGGGCTGGGCTCCTTCAGTTCCTTCTGAAGGCCAAGGCTAGTCCCAGCCTTAGTCAGGGGAGCAGGAAACAAAAAGTTAAACCCACCAAATCTAAAGTGCTTCTGCCTGGGGAAGCGACAAACCATGTTTTGGTCTGTAATAAGGCACTTGCTCCTAAGTTTTGCGAGGGCATTTACATTTTTGACAGAGCTACTTCCATGATTCGTTATATTTAATGAAATCAGCATTGCATTGTATCTGTGCTTCCTGTCTTCTGAATATAAATAGAAAAATCTTCTAACAATTCTGTATAGGAAGCCTGGGAGCTGGCCCAGCGGTTCGGCAGGCAGCGACCGTGATTAGACTTCAAAGAATGTCCATCCTCTGTTTAAATGAAATGAAATGAAATAAAAGATGAGAAAAAGAACCTCCACTGGGAATGCAAATTAAATACCTCCCAATCTCCTGCCATGAGATGCTTTTTTCTTTTAGAAATAACTGGCCTGCACTTAGATTCTTGTCTCAGTGCTAGCACCCGGTCAGACTCTGGGACCGTGAGAAGCTGCTTCTGCTGGTGCAAACTGGTGAAGCCCAAGTGCTCCTCAGAGCTCAGCAGATCACAGCTCCTGAATGACAGAGGGGCGGTTTACCCCAGCAAAGAGCGTGGCCTTTGATGCAAGCGCGGCACTCACCGAGGCGCATGAGCCTTACGCCGAGGGGTTCTGCAACCGAGTGACTAATCGCCCGGAAATTTCAACACCTGCTACGTTCAAGAGAGGTGCTGGTCTCTGGTCCTGGCCCATTTCCAGATCCCAGCTTCCTACAGCCGAGAGAACCGCTGCACCGCTCACTTCAGAGCCGCCTCCTTGAGTAACGCGGGCAGGGTCCAGCCTAACCAGTTCAGCACCCAGCAAACAGCAGCCAGGCCCATGGGGTGGGGGAAGAAGCATCACCAAGGAAATACACACCTTCTGAAAATTAACTTCTTGAGCCCAGGAGCAATTCTTGGGGTTCGGAACATCTTCCCAAAACAGCTTCTTCATTCTGAAACATTAGGTAAATTCTGGAGTTGGTAGTGTTCTCATATATTCTGTACTGCTGTCACTCCCCTGTGCTATGTCAGGAACCTGTGAAGCTTTATTTATCCAGAACGCTAAGACAATGAAACAATTATTTTAGATATTATCGATGGCCAAAATTTAATAGGAAAAATAAAGAAGCAACATACCAGGCGGCACTTATGCAAAAGGTAGAGGCAGCCCTTGCTGAGTGTGACCCCAACCCACCCGCCCCAGAACTCAGAGGGATTTTTTTTTTTCCAACTGGCTTTTACTTCAGACCTCGGTCCGTGATGACAATTCAACACGGAGCTCTGAGCACTTTACAAATTCAAAGCCCAAGACCCCCTGCCCCGTTCCCTTGCCCCCCCACGCCACCCAGCAGCAGCAGAGCGGGGGGGGGGGCTCGGGCTGAAGCGACGCTTCCCAGCGAAAACCAACAGCGCTCGCCGCTCTTCCCCGTGCCACGAAGGCACCGGACCCGACGGGCCAACGGTCTCACTTCCACAAGCTGACAAGCCCCTGCGCTCCAGACACCTTAATTCTGGGTGCTGTATTCCACCGAGTCCGCTGCCTTTCAGTACAGAACACCAAACACAGGATAAAAATAATTCCGAGCTTTCCCCAGAAAGACCCTGCGCGCCAGCTCAGCATCATCTGAGCTGCAGCACCTTCTCCTAAAGCCCCTCGGGGTGTCTTGCAGATGGTACCAAAGGTCTCACCTTTGGTGCGAAACCAGCAATGCTCCAAGCAACAAAACTGAGGTGGAAATTATTATCGGCAGAACCACATACAGGCTGGCGTTATTCTCATTTTCATATCCACCTGGAATTAAAGGAATTCAGATATTAATGCAGTAAAATAATTTGTATGTGAACAAATAGTTTGCAATAAGGAAGTAACAAACAGTAGAAACAACAGCTTAAACAAAAAAAAAGCCTTGATAAACAGTTTTATTGTACAGCAACAAACCTTTACCTTGAGAACAAATAGACAAAAAGGAAGGAAGGAATTCTTTTCCTTCCTTTTATATATATTTTTTTCCCTTCCTTTTATATACTGACTCCCATTCCTGTGGGTGGTGCCCACTTCCCCCTTGCTATTAAGAAAGGAAACCACAGCATATGAAAGAAGAGACACAACTGGAGAATGAAGAGTCACAGGGACGTTGGATCTCAGCTGTTAAATTAGACGCACGGGAATTCAGGTCCCTTGCTCAACTCATCCCACAAAGAGTTTTCAAATTAAAGCAACTGAAGTCTAGATCACTGTTTATTGTTACATTACAATCGCTTCATTACTGACATTTTTTACTGATATGATGCAGACTTGTCCTGCAGTTCAAGCTTACTTTTCCACGCTCCTATTTTGTAAACAACACGGAGAAAGATCCTGTAAGTCACCTTTGGTAAAGTGATCCGTCGCTCTGGCTTTGCCGACTCCTCCAGCAAACACAGGGTACAGGCTGAACTGGTACTTCTCAATCAGAATAAAGTGATCTGGAAAGAGGCAGTCAGCCTTTCGAATCAAAACTATTACAACTGTTAAACAATTACCTCCACAAAGGCTCTGGTCACTTCTTAAAGTTCAGATCAGCCCAGAGAGGGGAATAAGGAAGACCAGCTTTTATAGAGATGTACTTTAATATCAGGAGATCAAAACTATTCATCTATGCTGGATAATCTAGCGTTATTCTGTCATGGAATTAACACCTTTATGGAGCTATTGGAAACATTTCTAAGATTAAAGCTGAAATGCAAATGGCACACACATACTAATTTATATCATTAGCTGATGTGCTCAATATTCCAAAACTAATTTTACTGAATTGCCAAAAAATGAACACGCTCCTGAGCTTCATTCTTTGTTAACCTGATTATTAACGCAACAGTCAATCCCTTACAGTCAGTCCTGTAATGACAATCAAGAGTTGTTCTACTGGTCCTCACCATAGAAGCAGTCAGAAACAGAGAGAGGGCAGAAAAAAGGAATCCCAAGAGCTCAGTAATGCCACGTTTCTCTGTTCCATGAAAATTAACATAATGCATTATATTTTCAAGCGCACACTCACCGTAAATATAATATTTACTAATATTTGGAGGAACTCGCACCCATTTCATCTCCTCTTCTTTGTTAAGGTTCTTCCATTCAATAATAAAAGATGTTATCACATACATCTGAGGTGAAAGCGTCCAAATCAAAATCACACAAGTGCTGTTCACTGGGTAAGCGCTAAGCGACTGCACCGCGTTCACTGACAGGACAAGAACACAGCCGTGAATGACACGAGCTCGGAGCTGAGGCCAGAGCTGCCTTAGCAGGAGAGGTGTATCCTCTCACCCACGCGGCTGCTACACATCTGGCACTCTATCATTTACCCGTTTCATTATCTTCTATGCAATAAAGCCCAATCTTCAGTTCACATAAGCAAACTTATTTCTCTTTAAGCCAGCAAAGCTCGGTTTGCACCAACTGGTCCCGAACACTAAACAGATCAAGTTTCCTACTAGACATCAAACAAATATCCCCAATCTCACGTGCACCCCCTTAATTATCGCTCCCTAAATCAGCAGCTACTGAACTGTCAACATGTAGCCAGTAAAGCATGCACTGAGCGCCCTGTAAGGTAAACCCGACTGAATTTCTCTAAATAATGCGCCAAGGTAACGATCCAGTCGGAGAAACGCTTCCCATTACCTCTGCTTCCAGCCACAGGGTTCCCAGAATACACTTACATACAGTATCAGAAAGAATTTTATCCAGAAAAATGCTTTTTAAATTGCATTACAGCAGTGAAGTTCTACGAATAGACTGCAGTAACGTTTCTCACAGCATATATTTGCATATGAATGTTACACAATAGACATATTCAAAAGCAAGAGCCTTTATTTCATTAATAAAGCAGAGTGCAGCCGAGTCAATGAGGAGGTCGCTTAGGAAGTAAAGCCAAACCTCTGAAAACTATGTGCTCTGGCAGCCCGTCAGGTGAGCAGCCAGAGAAACAAGACCAAATTTCATTTTTGGAAACAACAAAACATTCCCTCGCAGGAATGTTGGGTGTTCCCAAGACAAAGTAGATGAAAGATCAGTTCTACAGTAAGATTTGATTTTTCTTTGATTAATTACTTGATATTCTGTTAGTGGAGGGAAGACAGCCCAGTGAAAGACAACTCTTTTCCCAACCCAAAGATCATTAAGATTTCCATGTGATGGAAATTTCATTTTTCAAATAGCTCTGTTGGTGAGATACAGAATCTGTTTCCCATCTAAAGCTGAACGTATCATCATAAAACATTTTTTTATCCTAACAAGGGGAATTTTATGACAAAGCAAGCTGCCTCCAAAAGCATCACAAGGATTCCTAGCATTTTCCACATCTCAAAATGGTTGCTAATCAGTGTTCTTACCTGTGCTCATTTGCTGTGATAGAGTTAAATCAAAATTAACTGAAGAAACTCCGATTGAATTCATGGCTAACACGGTAACGGTATGTGTGTGTTCAGTCCACGGAAACAAAGAGGTAGTGCCATTATCAACATATTCTGACCACGTGGTGTTTCCTGGTGTCCGATGCTTTATAACGTATCGGCTCACACTGCACAAGGAGCGATTCTTCATCAGGGGCTGCAGCAAACATTGGCGTTAATTAATTTCCCAGTCTTCCGTTTCAAAAGCAGACGTTATTTGGGCAAAAAGCACTGTTCCAATTTAAAAAAAAAAACATGACCCAATAAAGATATTCTACAGACTGGCTACTGTGCTTTCAGCAAAGGCACTGTACTCCACTGAAAGACTTCATTTTTTTCTGTCTCTCTCTATCCAAGGGCTGACACACTTGCTACCTTTCCAGTGAAGGGAGCGCCGGGGGACACGGAAATACAAACTTTCAGACTCCTACAGTAACTGGCCGGTTTATGTTGGTATTTTTCAGGATTGAAAGACCAGAACAGCCGACTGTTTGTATGGACAAACAGGAGTGGGCAGTCACTGACACACTTTTTTCCTCTGTCCTGCACTAACCTTCGAACACAGCCTTGCCCAGTCTACCCGCAGTCGCAGCGGTGTTCATCCAGGCAGCTGCCTAGGAGCCAGCGGCACGTTCTGCTCAGAGATCTTGGTCAGCAGACCTTGCCAGCTGAAGGCTGCACCTCACAAGAAATTAGTCTTTGATTCCATGTTATTTTTTCTCCGAGGATTAGAACAAACTGCATTTTAAGTCTCTGCCTTAAGAGCATTTATATAACGAACACGCTGACGCTTCAGCTGCATCAGCACAACTCAGGCAGCAGGTCTGCTCTCTGCACCGAGGCAAGGAGGTTTGCAGCCTGCCGCGGGACCCGAGGGCTCTCCCAGAGAACAGGGGGCTCTAAGGCTTCGGGAAGAGCGGGAGGTTCCACGCGGCCGCGATGCAGCCCCACGCGCAGCTCGAGGTGGCCGCGCTGCGCGCAACCGGACCCGCGCAAAACCATTTGACCTCGGCCTCAGATGGGTCAACTCCACAAAAATCAGCTCAGTTCAGGGCTGGCCCGTGAGCTCCCGGAGTCTGTCACCAGGTGCCTGTGCTAGGCCTCACCGACCTCTCAACCACCCTGAGCAATCACCCAGCGCTAGGAAAGTTTTTGTCCTACTACAACAAACTTGGTCACGATCAGGGTACAAAGTCAGGCCGGCGCGTGCCAGCTAGCTGCAGGGAAGATTACAGAGAATAACAACAGAAAGGCAGGGGGGGAGTAACAGCAACAGAAGGGAGTAAAGTAGAAGACAAGCGGACCCACCTCACCTCGTGTTACAATCAATATTCACCAGCAAATTCTACTTGCCTCTAGTATGAGCCCAGCAAGAGGCAGGAATGCAGGAGAAGCCACATCTCAAGCGCATTGCAGATGAAGTCCCATGAACAGCGACCGCCCGAGTTCACCTCCCAGGGCAGCACGTGCCCATCATACTCCCTTTTTTTGGCAATTCTGCCAACGGTTTTTGGATCAAAGTGAAAGACCAAAACGTAAGCGTTCTCACCTTCCACAGGAGCGTAACGTTCTTCTGCCTCCTTGCTGGGTCTTCAACAATAATTCTCCAAAATTCAGGGCCTTGTAAGGGAGCTGCAATATCACACGGTTTTGAAAGAACAGTGTCACATCTCAGTCTGTTCTGGACAGCCCACCAGAGTGCCCTCTGAAGCACACGTACCTTTGATATCTTTAACAAGCGTGTGGGCTGAGCTGCTCCAGTTGCTCCAGTAACCCGACCCATCGAGTTCTCTGCACCGCACCTGCACAACATACTCAACACAAAGCTTCTGAACTTTTATCACAGCTGATCTTGTTGGTGCACTGGAAACTTCATAAAGCTGTAACAGAAGTCAAAATACTTACGGTAAGACCAAAAGGCTGTTTTGGCATCTGTTTTGAGTCAAAATTCCTGAAAATTAATCCAATGAGAAGTGGCCTACTTGGTAATATTCCTTTGCTAGATAATGCAAATGCTCATAATCGCGATTCACTGCATTCCACAAATTCCACAAACCCCAGCTAACACACTACGTAACAACACTGCGACAATTCATGCTTCAATCTAGATTAAACCAGACAGTACCTCCCATGTCATTGCTTTCCTGTTCACAGCATACCGAATCTGAAATGTAAGATCATTGTTTGTAAATACTGGGTTTGTCCAGCTCACATTCAGCAGCCCAACATTCCTGGTGATTTCGGCTTTAACGTTGGAGGGGGGAAGCGGCTTCACTAGAAAATTGAAAGGAAAAAAAAAAAAATACTATAGGGTCTGCACTGACATTTCTCATTAAATCAAACCACCATGGTTTGCTTTCTTCTGTGCTGAGGGTGGCAGGTAAAGTCGTGGCCTCTGCTATTCCAAGTGCAGCCGGACTGCAATACAAACGCACAAATTCTCCCATCCAAGCTGGCTGGCACATCCACTGCAGACAAAAGCCTTGCTGACTGAGAAAGGTGATTTTTGTCTAATGGGAAATTCATTCCAATTTCGACCCAAACTAAAAATCACTAAAGAAAACCTGAAGTTGAAATAGCAGAGTTTTTCACAGAATAAACATTTAAAAAAAAAAAAAAAAAGAAAAAAAGAAATCCACAGGCAAGCTGCGGTACATTTCTTTTGAATTTAAACCACAAGAGCTTATATTGGTGCCAGCACCTGGTACCTCCCCTGGTACAAACAGCAGAAGATACAGCCTGGCAGTAACGGGCCGTGGAAAGCAGCGGCACACACGGCCCAAAAAGGCAGCTCCTAGAGAGGTGACAGACGTGATGCAACGATTAATGGAAATATTCCGTTAGGTTTTTATTTTCCTAATAGGAAATTCCACCAAAATTGAGCTTCTCCAGCAGACTGAAAACAAATGTCACAAAGCCCTGGTTTGTTAACAAAGCAAAGTTAGAATAAACTTGTTTTGACTAAACGGATGGTAAACGAGGAAAAAACAACAACAAAAAAAACGGAAATAAGCTTTAAATTTTGGGTGGTGCTAGAGTGAGGATGTTTTGGTTTACTGTGATACAAAGCACCTTTCATCCGGAGTCGGTCAACACCAATTGCTTTTTATCTAAAGCGATGACTCAAATGAGCCAGGTTTCTCAAGTTCTGCTACAATTCCTGACTGGGCAGCACCATCTGAAGCCACCACCTTTCCCCGGAGCTGCTCTTTCAGAGCAGCTGAGTGCCCAGAGCTGCCCGGCCCGGGCGGCCACGCTGCCCAGGGGCCAGGCTCTCCCGGGAAACCCTCTGAGCAGCACAAGTGCTGGATTCCCGACGCCCGAGGCTCCCAACACTTCTCTGATAATCAGCCAACTTGCTTGTCAAAAAGGCACAAAGAGGTCTCTCTGAACCAGACAGGGGCGACCTAGAAAACCACAAGGCCACCAAATTAATAGTAATAATAATTCCCCTAGCCCACTTAGCTACAGTGAACTTTGCCTTTCCTCCCTGTGACATTCGTTTTTGCTTACTCTGTTGAATCTTTCAAATGCAAAGGATAGGTTGGTTGAATTTATGTTCTCTGTACGCATGCTTCCCCCCCCCCCCCCCCCCAGTAGATGTATTTTATTATTCTGCTTTATTTCATGTAGCACTTCTGTGGTCCAGCTGCCATGTTTTCCCTCTACAGTCGTTCACATCTCCGTCCAAAAAATTCACAGTCCAATGAATGCTCTGAGTCACAGACCAGATAACAAGACGTGCTTTGCCCATTTTGCAGTGTCTGAAAACACTCAAACTTTGTTCCTGCCTCTTGCCTTTATACAAATTTAAGTGATCTGTGTGTGACAAAAGAAACTTTGCAAAAACATGCATGACCATGAACAGCCGCTGTGAGTTTAAACAAATATGTAACTGTGCAATACATGACGTGCTGCACTGTATCAAAGTATAAACTTAACAACTAATTGAAAAGTTCAGAAAAATTAGATAACCAAGAACCTTAAAAATCAGACTGCCTTTTAAACAGAATACTTGCATTTTCTGTCGATGTCTTTGCAAAACACCCAAGAGGATAAACACGCAAAACTGGATGTTTCATTTTACAGCTATTGGCTGCAGTTACAATCTGCTCCTGTGCCGAGCAAAATGTATGGAAATAACATTTAGTCCACCATCTTTTAACAGTATCAAAGCTCTTAGGTTTTTATGTTCTTTCCACTATCTAATTTATTTAAAATGCTATGAAGAAGTACTTTACCTACACCATATAAGGAATGAAATCCAAGGTCACAAGTGAAGAAATACGTGCACGAATCTTGACCTACCCACATCTGCTGGAACGACACAAGTTGGTGAGGATTCGAGTGTTCCAAGGAAGTGCTTAAACTCTATCCACATGGTATATCCAGATAAAAGAAAAATAGGCTGAAATGTGCACTCATAAGAATGATTCTTCTGTAAATGGCATTCTTTCACCTCTGATTTTGGAGAAGTACTTGGAAAGTCAGAACAATAAATTCTGCTCCTTAAAAAGAGAAAAAAAAAAACCCACTCAGTTAATACATTGCAACTACAAGCCGCTCATGGCATCAGTAAAACAGAACTCTGAAGGCAATTAAAACAAATGGTGTTGCTGGAACTATCTGGGGGGTTTGGATGATTATTTGGACAGCTCTTGAACTTGAATCTGCACTAAATGGATAAATAATGCTGCAGTGTTAGTCCTCAAAGCTTTGGCTCTTAGCCTGAAAAAATCAGGACATGAAGGCTCTCCCCAGTGCAAAATCTTTTGATAAGAGACTAACAACTGGAAGAAACGGGTACAAGAGCCGCCATCTCTAAAGACTCATAAATCATGTTACTGGAGTGGCAGGTCTTAACGACAAACATAGCAAGGCCGATCTCCAGCCAAGAATTTACTCCAGCAGGGAATGTGACTTTCAAAAAACCAAGTGGCTCTCAAGGGAAAGCTGCCACATGGATCGATTGAACACATAGAGTGAAGCCTCCAGGAGATGGAAATCCCATAAAAATATCAATTCTGGAGAGGGGTATTAAAATCCCACATCCAGTCAGTATCGCATCTGGCAAGAGAAAAGAGGAGACCTGGGCTCTGGATATCTTATCAGCGATGGGAAGGAAAGTTTTCAAATTCCTCCTAATTCTCCTAAGCTTGCACACAGCTCAGAGGTGGTGAGCATGGCCAGATAGGGCATTAGTCACTCAACTGAACCACAAAGGTTACACTCTGCTGAATCTCTCCTCTTGTGCCAGCACAGCTAATACTGATTAAACTGGTGCCTTGTGCTTTGACGGTTTCGCTCCGCATTCTCTGGTTTTTTACAGGGTGATCATTTCTGTGCGGTTTCTGTTGGCAGCACCGACTGTCGAGGAAGATGTAGTAACAACCCAACGAAAACAAAACACCAACAGCAAAGCTATCACACCACGTAACTGCAGAGCGTTGGGTTTCATCCGTACAATGTCACTGCATCAGGAACTAAGAAGAATCGCTGCGTGCTCCTGGAAAACCGGGCGTGTCTGATGCCGATGCAACACATCTGACTTCCAACCTCCACCATGAGGACTCGCCTATGTCTACGCCAATACTAGCAATTCTAACACATTTATGGTGCCTCTTACAATTAAGCTTGGGCAATTAAAACACCTGATCATTTAATTTAGTTTCAGGCTTGTAAACATTCAAATTCCTTTCGTGTTTTTTTGGTCCCAATGTGCAACAGAACGTTATGCAAATGATGCTGGCATTTTAATAACTATACATTTTTAAACATCTTATACTTCAACTTTTTGGTAGTCACAACATTCCTGTGGTCCTCCATTATTTACTTTTTTTATTTTCCCTCTTTCAGATCCTACTATTAGCAAATTAAAAAAAAAAGAGAGAATAAAAAGGAAGATCAAAATGTATACTAGCAACTGGGAAGCATTTTCAGTCTGTACTAACGTTCACTGCTCTAGCAGGAACACTGTTAAGAAACGTGCAGATGATCAGTTTGCATTCGAAAACATTTTCAACTAAACCTGAACAGTGAAAAAGTGGGAATAAAAAACATGGCAAGAGCAGCATGGTTTTTATTTCAAGCTCCCTGCTCAGCAGGACACTCATTATATTCATATTTGTGAAGACAGTCAAAACAAAACCTACCTTAGCAGTCAGCTAGTCACTAATCCTGCCCTAAAAGCCTCCACTTGAAATTTCAAGCATTCCAGTTATTACTTTAGTCCACAAAATCCTGAGAAATATTCACCTTGGTACTATGATAGTTCAAAACTTCAATTCACCTCCAACAGAGAAGACAGTCCAGCTTTCCAAAGGATTAGGCCCTCAGGGCTGATTTAAGCTTGTTTGCCAAAACTTTTGCATATCCAGTCCAGCAGAGCCATAAAAGTAAAGTTTTTTTCCTCCGGAAAGGTTGTCTGTCTGTCTACCTTGTTTATATAAAGACTAACATGGTTCTAGGAAACTCTCAAGCTCAGTATATTAGTAACTCAAAGGGATTTTTTTAGTTTCATGGTAAAACAACACTACCACAGGCAATGTTTGTGCACACGAATGAAGATAAGGATGATCACGTTACTGATTTAATAATCAGGTTTGTATTTTGCAAACAATATGTGCTTGCTCCACACCCCAGTTCTGCACTGCCCAAAGACAGACAAAATTAAACCAACTATCTGAAAACAAGCCAGGCCGAAACACTTGACCAAAACCACGAAAGCTAAGAATTGCTCCAGCCACCAAAGACTCTGACTTCATAAAGCAATATTCCCTTTATGAACTAAGATTTGATTCTCTCTTTATAAGCAAGATTTTTTCCATTTGAAAGAAATTAAATTCCATCCCTGTATTTTTATCTACTGTCTGTATCTAGAAAAAAAAGATACAGAATTACAGAAAAATCGAAGATTGAATGGAGACCTCAGGAGGTCCCAAGTCCTCCCCCCAATTCAAAGCAGGGTTAAATTCAAAATTCAGCGAAGCTGCCCAGGGTCCTGCCCAGTCGAGATCTGAAAGTCTCCAAGGACAGGGATTCTAGAGCCTCTCTAGGCCCCAGCTCCACTGCTCAGTCACTCGCACCTTGAACAGGGTTTTTTCCTTATTCCCTTACAATTTGTAGATATGAGCAACTAGAATAATCTTTTTTATAACTGATACAAGCAAACGCATCTACTTTAAGAGGACTGGCTACCAAACTGCATCTACAGGCTCTACAAATGCCAAAAAGCACTGTAAATAGAATCCACGCTACATACTCAGGTATCTGTGGTCCCCTTTCTGCACACATCATTAACAACCCTGCAGTTCCAGCTGGGAAGAAAACTGAGCACATTTTATAGTTACTTCTATTCAGAATTCTTCCCTGTAATAGTATTTCCAAACATAAAGAGTGTGTTAAAAGCTATACGTACCTGTGGTACCTTAACTGCAAGGAACTCCCCAGGAGCAGTGTGTTTGGGTTTGCAGACCATCTGCAAGTCATTTTAGTTAAGTACCCATCCGTTTCACATGTGATATTGATATTCACATCTAATTAAAACACATTGAAAGTTTATTTGTGAAGAGATAATTGCTTATCCAAAACACATGCACTACAAGTCATAACTGCTCAAGAAAAGATAACTGGAGTTTAAAATCGAAATATTCTGACCTTACTATTAAAATGCAACAAAATTGTAATTTAAAATCATCTGGAATCTTACCTACTACATATAATTCAGCGTATCTATGATGACATTCCCTATTTTGATGACAACAGTATAATGCGTTATAGAAGAAACTTCCTCTAGGTTTTGTTGCTTTCAAGTTGAAAAGAGTAACTTTGCTTACGCGATCGTTCACAAGCGTATACTGACTTTCTGGGATTTCCTCTGCTAAATTCAGCCACCAAACAATCTTCTTGGACACTACAATCTTGGTTTTGTTTTTATAGATGCAATAAAAGGAAACATTAGAACCAACACTGCTCAGTATCTTAGGAGGGAAGTACAGGACTTCAGCTACACAGAAAGGGAAGAAAAGGAAAAAAAATTCCGTTGATATTAGACTCTGAACAAAAAAAACACATAAAAGCATATGTCAATAGAAAAATATTATTATTATCATCATCATCCAGTTGTATTTCTAAATTTCTTACTTCTTAATTACTATTAACAACTATAGGGAAATGAGCCCTTGACTGTCTCCCTCCATAACTGATGTTTGTAAATTCTGATAAAAATAATCTTTAAGATCCCCAGGCAAAAAGGAATTAAATGAGCAGAAAATGCCTGGAGCATGAAAGCAATACACAGCAGCACAAGGGGAAGAGGGAATCACACGGGCTCCTGTAAATGAAATCTTGGGAAACTGGAATAACACTGCTGCTTTTTACTCAGCCCACTTCTCTGAGGCATCAGGTCAGCCTATTTAAATGCTGCAACAAAATATTTGCAACCTTAAACGGGTTAGCTTCTGTAGCTCATCTCACAAACACACACACCACAAATTTTAAAATCGTAAAACTGTCCCCCGTAAAAGTGAGAGATGATGTTTGGGTTTGGGGGGGGAAAAAAAAAAAAAATCTAACTCTTTTGACCCCTGCAAGTATGTTGGATATCTGTGTTAGTTGAAACATTACTGTAATACTGGAACATAGGTTTTGAGAGAATTGCTATTCAGAACTAGGGGAGAGGGGATTAAAAAAAAAAAATAAAATCAAGCTTTCCACTAGTTACTACTCCTGCTCATACTGAAGCCAACAGCAGATTACTGTCTCAAAAATGTTATTTACAATCTCAGCAGTGCAGTTAATACCAAATGGTAACAGTGACACAGTAAGCAATTCACTGAGGCATAAAGACACTGACTTTGCAAAGCACATACACGCGCCCAAGCTCAGCCTCGATCGGTCAGGTTCTCAGGGAAGCTGCAGGTGTTATTCACCTGCTGAAAAGGAAGTTTGCCAAAGATCAAACCCAAAGCCAGCATGAAAACCCTTAACAGGTCAGGTTTGCTTTCCATAGCTGAGGAAGATATTTTTAGGGTTTTTCCAAAATGCAGGCCTTCTCAGACAGCAGAGCAGACTTAGAACGTTGTCGTTGTCAAAGACTTTCACGTTGAAGAGAAATCAGCACATAAAACTGGTCAGCTGCACAAAACCCCAACTGCCCGGCTTCAGCGCTGCCTCGTGGGGTGTTTCTGTGCCCCCCGGAGTGCCCGGCAGCGCCCCCGGCCCAGCGCTGCTCCCACCTCCTCCACTGGCTCATCCTAACACTGGCCACTGGGAGAACCTGCCAGTTTGAGTTTCCTGCAGTGAAGGAATTCATCTCTCTGTGCTGCCGTCAGGTTGGTCACAACGGGATTGTATTGCTGATGAGATGTATGTTTAATACAGTTACATACCCAATAAACAGGATAAATTACAAAATAATCAAACAGTATCTACTGCACCTCTCTGACATCCCTATTTCTTAATACACTCATAAACCCTTTCTGAAAATATCAGTGTATGTGTATGTGAGAGAACATGAGCATTTACCCCCAAAAACATTCTCACAGCTATATAGTTCTGTATGATATACGCATACACACATTTTTAAAATTTTTATATAGAAAGGTATAAATCCTAAGGACTAAGGGCCAGTTGGGCCCCTGGTCATATAATGAAGCATTCTGTGTTTCATGCTTGATTGCCATGAGGGTCTGTGTATTTTCAGCTTTCTTGGAAGAGAAGTCCTTCTGCAAAGTTCAGCTATTTCCTTGGCACTTGATTTAAGGACAGACATCACACTGCGCAGCACCCGGTAAGCGGGTGTATGTGTAAGCACCTAGGTAAAGCACCGGTATTGTCACGTAAGAGTTCAGAGGATACCTGTGACAACACAGACCAGACCACCTGCAGGTCAGCGTAAGCAGAGCATGGAAAATACAAGGCAAAAATTCCTGAAATCTTTAGGCTGACCCAAACCAGCTCAATCTGCAAAGCGGTAACTGATAACTGAGCAAGGATTTGCCAAAAAAAATTGCTCTCCCTTCCTGTACACTCTGACCAGGAGTCAAGAGCCATGATGATCTATAGTTTTAGCAGGAGCTACGTTGCTGTAAGGGACCTCAGTGAACCATACGAGCCCTTCAGTCAGTCCTGGGAGCTCTTACTGTGTGTGACATGTCAGGAACTCACCCTATTTGGGTAGCAAATTGAGGACAGTATATAAGGTCATATGCTTGACACTAAAGCCACGTGCATGGAGACCGAGTGACTGAGGCCATTTGTGAATGTGGCTCAGCAGTACAAACCAAGGTGGATTACGTTCAATCTACACACCCAAAACTGTGTTCTGCGCTTTTAGTTCAACTACAAAGCCTCAGACTAAAAGTCAGAGAAAACATTAGGAGAAGAATCTTGTATCTAGTAGAGGTTAAACGCTGCCAACTGTCTTTTGAAATGGAAAACTCTTAGAAAAAGCACTCTTTTCTGGGGCTGGGCAGGTGCTTGGTGAGCGCCAGGGCCAGACAAGGAGGTGCCGTGGAGCTGACTGTGCGGCCTACACGCATTAATGCACAACTCCTCTGGTGCAAGTCTTGCACAGAGGAAAGCACAGACTCTCAGGTAAAGCCACACAGAAGGAGAAGCAGAAGGGGAAAAGATCAGCCACGGGATTTTTCAGCCCAACTCACGCATGCTGTACCTCCCTGGGTAACGCGTGCTCTCAAACACTCATTCCACCAAAACAAACCAAACTGGGAAATCTGTTCTATTCCAAAAGACTACTTACTGCACGCAAGCAACTGCACATGACCTACCTCCCAAATTGAGATTACCCGGGGTGCTCCAGTCACTCCAGAACCCTGCACCGTGACGGTTCCTGCACCGCACTTGAACTAAGTATGAAGAATCAAGTAGTGTGTTGTCTATGGCCAGTGAGGTTTCCAGAGCGACTTGAACCATCTGTAGGGTATCAGAAGCCATTATTGTATAATGAAACGGGCAAAAGAGACAGAAGGAACCAAAACAAATTCATCTAGAGTGTAGTTTTTAGGTAGCAACTTGGGTAAAAAAAGCTTTCTTCTTTCAATTTACTGTAAATTTGAATACAGTAGAGGTTGCCTACCTCTGTGGAAAACATTTCATTATGGACTGCTAATTAACAGCTGCTCTTTATTCCAGAGCCGGTTGCATGGCAGCAACAGAAAAAGCAATTCACTAATAAAAGCTGTAAATATTAAACATATACATGTGTATCACGGACTTTGGGGTTCGCTGAAAGGAGAGAGCTTTGCCTTTAGACTTCACAGAATCTAGCGTTTCATCCGGAAAGATGGGAGTTTGTAAGACCCAAGAGGAGATGGGTCTTTCGTCATCGCGCAGTGGCTCTCAGTGCAGCAGATGTAAAGTCCCGCTTGCCAGCTTCACCACACTCCGTCGATGCTCAGTGGGGTCTACTGGACACACCAGGTCAGGAGAAACCAGCATGCCAAGCCCAGCTCCAGCAGCGCAGCCACGCTGTTCAACCCACCAGAGCCACTGCCCAGGGACAAGGAGAGGGTGGTGAGAAATCCTGGGCTCTGGAAGAGATCTGCCAACCTGCACCGCTCCGTCATAAAACAAAACAAAACAAAACAAAACAAAACAAAACAAAACAAAACAAAAAAAAAAAAAAAAAAAACAAGCAGAGCTGACTCACCTGCCAACTGTTTTGACCTGAATTTGCAGAGATCTTCACTTCATACTGAAGTGGGTATGGCATCAGCACAGGGTCGGACCAGCAGATCTTCACTTGACCTTCCTCTGTCATTTCTAGATGCAAGTTCACGGGCGGTTCAGGCTTTACTGCAGACAAATTAATTGACAAGTTTACCACTAACCTTATTACCTGCGGCTGCTGGCGGCAATGGGGTTTTACTGATTCAGAAGTCTCTTTCACACCTTTTCTTTAAACTCAGTTTTCAAGAGCTGCTCTGCAGTTGGTGTATGACAGAGTCATGTTGTGTAATATCACTGGAAAAGCGCGCCCTGGCACTGTTTTATAGTTAGTTCTCAGGACATGCTGTTTGACCTAGCGTTTGCCTTAAAATTACATTAATTTCTTGCTTTGGGCCATGATTCTTCCCAGCAACCAAGCACTAACGTACCTGTTTTGCTGAAAAGAGAAATGAGAGGGATGGGAGTGCTGAGCAAAACAATCTGGTCAGCTCCTTAAAAGACAGGAGATAACGTCCTCATACTGTACACACAGAATTTCTCAATACTCCTGTTCCTCCCGCAGCGATGATGGCTATGAAGGAAGGACTCCAGGAGAGCTCCACTAAGGCAAAGTAAAAATGGATGGTTTCCGAAATTTCCCACAAGGATGAAGAGAACTCTCTGGAGAGGGAAATGGATGGGCAATGTAGACTGATGACTAGGATTACATTCACTCTTCCTTGGACAAAGGCAAGAAACCTAGATCTCACACTGACCTGCTGCTGAGACCTTTCCAAATCACTGCCTAAGTACAGTGTCTTTTGACTGACCTTGTCCCCATTCAGCTCCAAGTTTCTCCCATGTAAGAGTAATGTCCTGTTAAAAACCACTGCAGAGTAGACAGCACATGCAAAAGCTGAAGAGGAAGCATTTCTAAGGGTCTTAGGCAGGGGGCACGTGTTCACTTTGAGTTCCATCTGCACTGGATGTCCACAGCCTGCCCCCAGCCCCCAGATATAACCGCTACTTCCATTCGGGGCTTTACGCTGTCTACGCTATGATTTTGCTCATCTGGAGTATCTGAGTGCAGGAGGCTGGGAAAGGCTCACAGAAGTAGTTTTAATGGGAGAATGAAAATGACAGTAGCCCCCCACGTCGGTGAAGGTGGGCTGTAAGCAGTAACCGAGCTGGCAGAGTTCGGAAGAAGCAGCACGTCCACGGCCCTTTGCTAGTGCCACGGAGAACCAGAAGAATTGTCTCCTATCATTTGAACCACGCGATCAGATAACACATCAGTCTTACCTGGAACCTCCTGCAGCCCCTGTGGGGTCCACTCAACTAAGAGTCTGCCTCTACCAATATCAGATTAAATACAAAATGGTCTTTCATTGATCTCTCGGCTTTTTAAGGTGTCTCATTTAAGCGGTATCACTGGAATCTCACTCAGTTTACCAAAAACCTGTTATTATTTTCAGTATAAATTCACTACACTAAGTCCAGTCTTGTTTTATTATTACTTATATACCACCTCAAAGCAATTAACTTAATGAAGACCAGCAGGAAGTGATTTGGGAGGAAACACAGCTTTTAAAACAAAAGACGGTAACTTTTACATCACACTTTAATGAATCTTACAACACAGATAATGATGTCTGTTCTACTAATATCATCTATAAGCAAGTACAACTCTACCTTACACAAGTATTCATCATTTGACTTTCAAAGTAATTTTTAATTGAGCTAAATCTTGGCAGAACATATACTAATATTATGTATTTTTAAAACATACTTCACCAAGCAGAACAAACTAATTATGTCATTTTAAATACTGGCAGACGCAACTCTGAAATTTTAATTTTTTTCCTGTTGCATAATGTAAAAGCAGCATGATGAAAAATGCAACCTCTCATCTTCCAAAATGGCCCACCCGGAGACTTTTAACTTACTCTGTCTGAAAAACACAGTGGTTAGAAGAAGTTTATAAAACTTCTATTTTTTTTTTCCCCACAGCTGACAGAATCCCTGCCTTTTTGAAATCTGCCAAGATCGGCAGTAACTGAGCATACTGGATAGCAGCACATATCAAATTCATCATGTCAGTATAGTTTTAACTTGATTAAACACAGAGGAATGTTTTCCAACTTGGAAAACGCTGGTACTGTGGGTGTAAAGAAGAAAGCATCAGGACAACAGAGCTGCCTGAGAAAAGAGGTGGGTTTATTTGCTAAGTACCTTTAGGAACAGCTTTTTTGCCCCCCCCTCGCTTTTTAAGTCCTCAGCAACACAGATGCATACACTTCACCACTGCCTCAGTCAGACACAGAGAGGTCCTGATCAGAAATGAAAGCTCGAGGACGTTGACAGCCTGGCCTTTGCTCGGTATGGTTTTGTACCAGAGCCCAGACAGGCGTTAGGCAGCTGAGGAACATGTACAGCACCACCCTGAGCAAGTGAGACAGCAGCAGGAAGCCTTGCCCTGTTCCGTCTGCGCGCTCCTTCTCCAAAAGAGACATCCTGCTGCTGTTCTCAATTAAAAAAGGCTTAAGATATAGGTCATATTTACCTATGTCTATGGGCTTGACTGACATCAAAGGTGACCACAGAGGTGTGACACCAACCATCACCTTCAGCCACATGATGTAAGTGTGGTTGAGTCCCAGGGAGGGCACGCAGCACTCGCACTTGTCAGGCTCGCGACACTCACACCGAGCGACCGTGACAGGCCCCTTCAGAGACCTCGTCGATACATCTCCCAGAGACAGCTCTGATCTGCAAGAGAACAAACAAACCACAGAACGAAACCAACCACTATTTCTTTCTGTGTCTCAATAAAGGAGGGGTTGTCCATCTGGATAAAGTTTATTTACCAAAAAAAAAAAAAAAGAAAAATGTCAGTAATTGTAACCAATTGCTTTTACTTTGCTGCTTCTCCCTTTTGAAATGGTTTCTAGGTCAAGTAGTTATTTCATGGAAAGTATTCCTAAGGTTTGACTTGAAAACAAATGTGTTATAATACTCGATAGCACCTGTAGTTTAGTCAGACTAGTTTTTAATTCCTGATGGTAACTATTACTAGATACTTCTTAGGCACACGAAGTTAGTTTACCTTACAGTGGACTGACTGACAGCTCTCTGCCACCCCCATAGAGATTATGTTCTAATTCCCATTCATGAGGCACTGAAATAATATCTAAACAATTTAATATTCCTTCCAGCTTCTGCTACAATTAAGCATTACAAGTAACAGTCATCAAAAACAATTATTCAAGTGAAAAACAAGTTTTGGCATAACAAAAGGCTAAAGAACGCCACCATTCAGAGCACATTTTAGTACTAATTTTCAACAACTTACGGTATTCGGAAAAAAAAAAAATAGAAAAAATAGACACATCCTCCAAAAGTCTTAACATTGTGCATTTAATTCTAAGATAAGGCTTTAATTATTTTAATGCACAGCATGTTTGTCTGTTAAATAGACTGATGTTTCCTAGGAAAGCAAATTATTTACTCACACACATTACTACAAGCGTCTTGGACAGGCTCACGGAAAGTATTTAGTTGGTAAGTTACCACACTTTGCTTTTAATGCTTCTCAAAATAAAGATCATGGGACTATTTTTGACTGAACGTTCAGATTCAGTTTCAAGGGGGTTTTTTTGCCCTTTTTTTTTTTTCCCCTCTTTCTATTAACACTCCTTCCTTCAAAGTTCAACATAGGCAGTTTTTGATTATATAATCCACTGCAAAAATCGTATGGTCCAAGATAAACTTCTGAAGTTTTCAACTATTAATTGCTGCATGGGCATAATATATGTTTCATAAACATTTTAATCAGATTTCCTAATAATATGATTTCAATACATACGATTTCAATACATTTTAAATGAAATAAATGACAAAGTAGCATATACCGACACAAGCAGTCACGCATTCTATCTCTTGATGTTAGCAAATGTTTTATAGGATACAAAAAGAACACAGACATTCATACTGCAATACAGGCCATCACATTTCATTTCTATCTCGAAAACATATATACTTTTCTTTGGGTCAACTTCAAGGAGCAGCATGCAAACCCATACTATTTCCCACGTACACATTAGTATACAGCTGCTTTTAAAGTATGTTTTACAGGCATTTTTAGAGCAACCCTCATGTGTTTGATTACTCTTTTATAGATGTTTTCCATCTCCACTGATTTCAGTCAAACGATTCTCGATTTATGAAATAAATACCGCACATTGGGGCACAAAGCTGCTTCTTTTCTGAGAGCAACCAGCAATTCCCCAAGTATTCTTCATCCCCATTTCTAGTCCACTGATATTCTCTGGGCTCTTTCACACACAGATACCCATTTATGGAGTACTGCAGGTATTCAGTGACACAGGTCTCCTTAAAGGTAGTGAATTTAATACTGTGAATACTTTGTGGTCAAATGTCTCACAGCAGCAAAGCCAAAACAAATCCTGACAGTTAAATCATCCTGGATTCTTTCCTGATTTTGACATTTCATCCTTACAAAAAAAAAATAAAAAAGCTTATGTTTTGAATTGTTCTGGAGTAATTTGGGAATTATTTCCGTATAGCAAGGGTTTTGTTTTATTAATTCAGAGAAAGAAATTGAAGTTAATAGATTAAGAACCTTTCTGCAAACGTTTTAAATAGTTTTACAGTTGGTATGACTCACTGCAACACTTTAATTCAGGGAGGGCAAAGAATTCTACACTGGAGGAGAAGAAAGGACAAAATTTCCTGCTTTGTTTGGTTTTAGTCAATTTGGTATCTAGTACATTTAATTGACTGTAGAGCACGGGGGAAACAGGCATGATTCACTGATCCTGTTACCATAAGCTGCCCTACTTAAAAAAGGTCAGAAACTGAGGAGACGCTGGAAGCGAACAGAGGGCTGATGCGTTTTGGGGAAGAGCACGTGCAAATCGTGCTGCCTGGGACTGCAAGGGAACCCACAGCGCACACGCATGGACCTCCTTGGATCAGGGGCCCCACTCCCCGCACCGTTCGCTGGTCCACACGCACACGTTACGCGCCCTCCTCGGGTTCAGGATACTCTTTGAGGCTGGTAACACAAGGATTTTCAATAACACCGTTCCCTCAGAGCACCTGTACTCCGCAGTAACGACCCCTTACCCCATCCAGGTTCCTATGAATATGTAGTTTACATTTATTACTGCTACAGTCAGTCAATACTGACATTCCTAAAATAATTTTTACCAGGACTCGTAGACTTTAGGACATGAATTATGAAACCTTATGCTGATGGGATCTGGCAGACATACAGCTTTTAAATTACTTGGAATATTTTTGTTTTTATAGTTGTGGCTTCACTTCTTTCCTTTCAACGACTTCGCAGAATTTTCTTTCATGTTTCCCTGCCTGCTATTGTTGCTCACAGAGTTTATTAGTCTCAAAAACCCCACAATCAATCCATAAGAATGTAGTCTTTTCATCAAACCATGTCTTTAATTTGATCTGGAAAGCAGTTACTACCCCACCACCCTCCCCACCTTTCTCCTAATCAGTCCTAATAACTATTTCAATTTTTAACCATCAAACTGAGCTTATTTGCACCCAGAAGATCACCTGTGTACAGGGGAAAAAAATGCTAGAGAACTCCTCCCCGTGTTGTGTTTTGCCAATATTGTGTTTCGAAGGCCACTTATTTGGGAATAAACAGGCATGGGTTGTTATTTCTCCCTGCTCTCACCGCACAAACCTTTTAATTTGTTTCCTGTATAAAATGCTGTGTGTAGAAGAACAAGTGTAACTGGAAGAAAACCCTGTGGCTCCATGCCAGGCAGGTCTTCCACCCCTTGTGACAGAGAATTACCAGTATCTCATTTCTATACTGTAGAGTCCTCTTACAGCTCACTGCCTCTGCAGGCAACCAGGGCAAAGCAAGGGGAAAGACCAAGCTACGTTATTAGGTGCCAGGTCCACTCCTGGAGGAAGACATCCAGACACTGCAAAACAAGGTAATGAGCTGAGCATTTCCACAAACGGGCAAGACACAAGGACTACCTCACCAAATTGAGTTTGGGATAAGAGATCAATAGACGACATGATCGAGAGGGGTCCCCACATCAATTTATTCCCAATCGTCAAGCCTGGGCTGAAAGTACGAGACCTGATGACAGGCAAAACAACAGAAAGCCGAAGTATTCTGGGGAACTGTGGCATGAGCAGCCTGTCATCTTCAGTTTGGCTGCAGATGGCTCCAGTCACAGAATAACCATTGCTCCTAAACTGTAGATACTGACTTTAGAGCACCTTACGCTCATAAAGCCCTCAAGTTCAGGAGAGGTCAGTGCCTTCATTTAGTAGAATGAGAGGAGAATTTTTCAGGGGAACTTAAAATAAAGCAATAGGCTATTAAAAACTGGAGTTTTCCATCACACTTGCAGCACACTGAAAGAAGTTATAAATCCTGACTCAACGAGCGCTTTACATCACGCAACAGTGATAGGATCTAAAGTCAGATGCAAACTGTGGTGGGGGGAAGAAAAGACAGAGGACTTATAAAATACATGAGTATATACTATGTCCCCATTCAGTTTTATAGTGCTGGCTGCTGGAATGAGAGAGATTTGTCTTGGCACCGAGAGGTAAGCAAAAACCAGATGGGTACTAAGCACATGAACTTCTACGAACAGATTAGCAGATCCCACCTCTGAGATTCAACAGAAAACTAGAGAACTGGACATAAATTTTAATAGCTGGCAGAGAAGGGAGAGACAACGCACAAAGGCAGTGTGACTTTAAGCTGGAAACATGGGACTAAAGCATAAGACACTGCAGAAGAGGAGAAAAAAAAAAAAAAAAAAAATACTGCCTGCCCTGAACCACAAAAGTGATTGACATTGCAACAAGGGCATGTGTCCAAGGGTTGCTTTGCTTTTCCACTCCAAACACTGCACTTCTCAGTTGTGCACACACAGCTCTTTTAGTCAACACCTGAAGTTAACACTTCCTAAATGTTTTGTAATTTGGTGCACAATTCAACCAGGTGTGGTTACTTATGCTAAATTAACCTGTGGCCCAGTGGTGGACTTCTAGACTTTAAATTAGACCCTGCAGAATGTCTTCACTGAATTTCAATCGATTTCTTGCTATCGAAACACCTAACCAAAACCAAAAGGTCAACTTTGCTTTAAGAAGAGATACATGAACGTCTACAATTCCTCTAACTTCAGGTAAGGTACAACAGTACATTTAGGAGCTATGTTGAGGCATATCAGAAACAAGGTCACCATTGTAACTCTGCTTTCAGTATTTCTATATACTGCGTATGTGCAAGCACTGCCTTTATTAGGAATTGACAGAGTAAAGCTGTCTGGGGTTCTAAGGATTTTCAACAATTATATCTCAATGTATTTGACTGATAGAAACTCTTGGACAATACTTCTTTGAACAAGCTGCCCCCTTAAACTGCAGAACATCTGATGGCTCATGAGAGGGTAAGTCTCTAATGAAAGGTTAATGTTCTTCAGCTGAAGAAGGCTTTATGTATAACTGATACATTCAACTAAGCCACCAGTCTTGAGGAAAAGTGCATGATTTATCCTTAAAAACATGGGAGTCTAGGCCCAGAACTCAAGGAGAGCCTCACAGGTACATCAAAGAGGTCAGAAATATGAGTACAGCCTATACATCACCATCTGCAGAAAGGGCAAATTATAATCAGTGCTCAAAATTAAACTGTGAGCATTCATCTGTGTCACTACAGAAGGATCCCTAGGGCTAAGTGATTTTAGTTAATGTAATTAACCATCAGGGTTTACAGAATTCCTAGAATACATACAATTGGAGAGATCACTCACTTTTGGTAGACAATTAACCTAATTTGTCTAATTAAGTTTCAGAATAATCTTTCTCCTCCCGAAGACATGCTGCTAGGGAAGGTAAAAGCCCCATCATTACCCTTGCTTGAGCCTCTTACAGAATACTGTCATAGCACTGTTTTGGACAGAACAAAACATTTTATTTTCAAAGAACTTGATATCATTTACAAGCAAGCAAACTGTGGATGTGTAAAGTAAGAGGATACTTCTTTAATGCTGAAAAAATTAAAAGCTGTGGAAGACCAAGCTTTTTTGTGGTAGATTCTTCTAGGTCATTATTTTTGTACATCGCCTGTCCTATATGTGAGAATTCTGGCTTGATCTCCAGGCTCCCGGGGAGTAACACATGCCAGGAATGCATATTTTTAAAACTGGGAATGTTTTCAAGGTATTTTGGCTCATGTGAATAAAATGCTAAGGTATCGGCAAGCCAACAGGGAAAGCTGTCACCTTACCAAAATCTGAAATGCTTTGCTAGCTGTTCCCCCAGAACATAGGGACCCTGAAAGAAAAACATTAATATGAAGCCTGGGGAGTGAAACAAGTTCTCCAGTGTCTGGGACTGCATTGCATCTCGCCTTTGCAGCAAGAAGTAATCAAATACAGAAATGCCACAAGGACTGCAGCGAGTCTATAGGGCCCGCTCTCATAAACTGCACGACAGTTACTGAATTCCCTTCATAATACAAAGAACCTCTTCATCCCAGCTGGGTCTCGAATCTGTTGTTCCACAGACGTTAGACATACCAAAAAAATTCAATATACAGATTACTACACCAGGGTTACTGACAAAGATTTTTCTAGTGGCGTTGAGACTGGATGGAACAGAGGGGAAGTCAGATCTACTTCTCCCACAAACACATGTAATGGTATTTCAGAAATCAAAGTAATGAGGAACACTGGAAACGGGAACCCACTCAAAATCTGATGTCTGCTTTCACATAGTATGCCAACTAAACAACCATATTTATTACTAGTTAATACCCTTGCTTTCTACCCTGACTAAAGGGATAATTTGTGGCAAGTGATATCTGGCTTTTTAAATAGAAGTCATCACCCGTAAATTCAGCTAATTCAGTTATTTATGTTTAGCCTGCTTCCTAAGAAAATTAAGTCTGTGTGTTCATGCCATTACTTCCAACCTATCAGTAATTCAGAAAAGACAGCAAGGTTTCCTAAGTGTAATAAAACAGATCTTTTTATGATCAAACGTATACAAGACCTTCCCACCCCACAGTAAAGACAACTACCATCTATTACCCTTCCAGAGAACATCTACCACAGTGACAACTGCACAGCCGGGTGTCTCTCAAAGGCATCGATGCGCTTAGAGAAGCATTCAGCATTGTATTAAATGTTAAGTAACAGAATTACTTCAAGAGAGAGAACATTATGGTCAAAAGCATGACAGAGGCGGGGACTCTCTATTCCAACCATTTCTCATTCAAAGACAGAAACACAAACTTTCTATACTGTCCAAGATTACTTTTAGATAAGACAAAGGTATGTAACAAATCATCTGCTTGCAAAGCTAATGCTACCACTGTGCTGCAAGCTTCCGAGGACAATTTGATGTTCTAGAAAATGCTTTCAGATTTCTAATGCTAACAGTGACAAATTTAACAGAGTCCGTACTTACACAGCATATAAAAGATTAACCTTCAAGTCAGCTCTCAAGTGCAACTTCAAAAACTGCAGGCTACAAACTAACAGGTCCAGCTTGCTTCTAATCCAACATTCAATGTTCCAATTTGAATCTGCACAAAAGAAAGGGATTAAACATTTCTGAACTGTATTTTAAAAAGAAAAAAACAAAGAAAAAACAACAACTGAAGAGCCAGGATAACATTCACTCACAAAGTGAGGACAAGTAAGAGATACGCATGAAAGTGAGGGTGGGCCACAAGTGTGCGAATGTTTATGAATTCTCCTTGCTGAACTGGGCAGCAGTATATGTCCTTAAATACTTAAAAGGCTAATAACCTATGTGATATTGCTGCATTCTATTTATTAGAGAAGGAATATACTTTACCAGGTTTTACAGACAGGGCCACAATTGGAAGACAGAAATTAAGCTGCTGTTGCAGGTTGAAGGTTTTGCTACTGCGAAGTGGTACAGCCTCTCTGTAGCTGTACAGCAGACACTCTGCGCACACGTGGGCAGCTGTGCTACATACACAACAGCAACAAATTTAGTGTGGCAGTCTTTAACAGAGATTTATTTGTTCCATGGAACAGTTCTTATAAAATTAAATTCTACTCTACTGAGGTCAATGAGATTCCTGCCACTGCTACCCGTGTGCCAACAGGCCAGTATGCGGCTCAGAGACTGTGGTTTACAGGAGAAAAATGACCTCGGAAAAAATAATTCAACATACAGATATTTACTAAGGCCTCACAATCCAGACAGAAAGATGGCACTTGCTCTCCATCTCCCCCACCTCCTGGAGGAATGTGAAGCCCATATCCACGGAAATATTTAAAATATTTCTCACAGCATCTAAACACCTTTGAAGATCTGAGCTTACATCCTCATATGCAGCGCTACATATTTTATTCAGAATTCCCCTTGAAAGAGAACCAACTTCTTTTTTTTTCCCCTTGAAACAGTGTTATACAAATTTCTTCATCTTCCACTACAGACTGCTGTGAGGAAGGATTTTACTATACGATGTCATCTGCTCTGGATAAAAATGAATGTCCATTAATACAGCCCACCCTCCGTTCTCCGAAAGAACAAAAAACCCCAACCATTTTCTGAAGAAGTAGTCACTTCTTATGCCCTTAAATGAAAAACCTACCTATTTCCTGAGAAGCAGAGATATTTATTTCTGAAGGAATAAACCTTCTTGCTTGCATGCTTGCTCTGTACAAAGAGCAATCAATGATGCTATCACTCCAAAGGCAACACAGAAAACTTTCTTCATTCATTAGCAAGGGAGGCTTGGTTTCGGATGCTCCATGCTCTCTTCTCAAACCAGACCAGCTCTCTACAACTCCAGCAGAGAAAGGACTCAAGAATGTCTCATTCAGAAACATACAGGGTAATGTAAAGTTCCTGGGAAGAATTTGATGGACCATGCAATGGGCAACTGCCATTTGAAGAAAGTCTGCAAACATAAAGGCAAAGGTATCAGAAACAGAAGTTCATACGACTTGCTAACGAAAAGGGAGTGGCTGATGTTACACAGAAACACATTTATTACATCAAAATCAGACTAATTCCAGGGGCTATTCTCTGAGCTGCAAACGAAATTACCAAAAGCACCCCTTCTGAACTGGTGTCATAAGTGACAGATGCCAGCCTTCTCCCCCAGTCACTACACCTAACCTTCCGGTTTTAAAACCTCTTGAAATTGGTCAAGACCAAGACTGTAAGGGAAGCATCTCTTTGGGGTAAACTGACTTGTATTAATTCAAAATAGAGCGAATCCTAAACCAAAGTTCACATGCTATACAGGTAGGAGTCTCATCTCCCCATGCAGTGCTGGGATACCTGCAGTCCAGCTCTTACAACATGACTCCGTTGCTGTAGAAGAAATAATTCTATTGTAAATATAACACAGTCACATTATAACTGTTAAATACCAAAGAATAGTATTACAAGAATATAGTACTGGATGTAACCTCACAACCCCAGGGCATTATCTAGGAAATGACGTACAGAAAAAGAATAATCTTTTCCATCAGATTTCGATTGTTCAAAATAAAATTCCTCTGACGGCATTTGTAGCTCTTGTTGGTAAGTCATAGCTTTAATTACGAACATGGATTTTGAGAATGATGTGCATTTCAGTTTTAGAAATAGCTCACTATAAAACACTGCGTGAATTTCAGAGATTAAAGCTCTAGATACAAAAAGGCATGTGGGTCATTTGTGCATTTTGCATTTAGTTTTTCGCTCAGTAAGGACATAAATATTATAAGCAGTTCATCAGACAGAAATTAATTCATGCTCTGTGCCTTGCAACAGCCAAAATAAGAAAAAGAGAATGTCTCTAGCACTGTTTAAGAGCGTGCACATAAGCATAAGCTAAATAGTATAAAAACACAAAATGAAAGCTTTTAAAAAAGTGGGTGCGTGCTACCTTAAAAGCAGACACTGTGATACTACACAATGTATTAAAGCGTTTCCTTCTCTCTTCACACAGACTCTGTATTGCCAGACCCCTGGAGGGTTCTGCTCTTTCCTCCCCTCTCATTTAACAGAGTTTGTGCCTCTGTAACTATCGGCTTCGTTAGGCCTCCTGGCTGCATGTGGAGGACTCAGTTGACCAAACACGCTATTAGTCCATAATACTCATTTGTCCTTTTCTAATCATGTAAGTGACACGACTGCCTGTGAAGCAGGACAGCCAACAAACACACTACCCAGTCCACAGAGGCAACTGGGGGGTGGGAAGAGATTCCTGTCAGTCATTTTTTCTCAAACACGACTGCCTCCTCACGTATCACACCAGACAATCTCACGGGATTAATTAAATCTTATCAAGTCAAAATGTGTGCAGTTGCTTACCACTTCTGCAGAAGTGATAAAAAATAAAAGAACAATAATGCGTTACAATACCGGACATTTAGCACAGGATTGCTACAGCTCTTAACTGCCCGTTAATAAACCGCAGCATGGATTAAGGATGTTCTCCTGCTCCAGGTGTAACAGTTTGTCCAAGACCCAGACGCACAGGAGGCCACCACTTACAGTTCTGTCCCATAAAGAGCCGCTTATTTCGTGTCTGGGTTGACAGGGCTACAAAGAGGCTAGCCATGGCTACGTGCTTATTCGGAATGAGGCGGAGGTGGCCCCTCAACGGATACAGCGGCTCTCAGGCATTACAGGCTATCAGAGAGGGGCAAACTGCTCTGCAACCTGATGAAAACTCCCTGAGGCATCCAGGTTTTCTAATTAAAAGGCACACAATGTGTTTAGATTACGTAAGATATTTAAAAGAATCATGTCAACAACACAATATTTGATACCGAGCGGATAAAGGTACATACATAGAAAGAATTATGTATATGTATATAAATATTTATATAAAAGATATATATGTATATAGAAAACATAGAAATCTAACAATTTATTCATCTTTTGCGAAGATACAAGATGACACAAATTTTGAAACTAACTTCATTGGATTACAGCATCAGCTTTCTCCCTAAGCATCACCACCAAAAGACTTTAAATATAGTTCTTATTTTAATGAAAAAAGTAAGAGGCAAATACCAGCTGTCCCTGAACAGCATACACCAATATTGCTACAGACATTTTCCAATTAGAATACCAGTTTATTATATCTGACATTTGGAGCTAATTGAGCACCATTTAACAGCACTGTGCACATGAAAGCAGAGCTCAAACTCCAAATGACACCCTCGCTACACTGAACTAAACAGGAACTTTGCAGCTCTGATGGAACTGGGATTTTTCCCTTCTGCTTTCGAAACAAACTGCCCGTGAACCTCTATCTATTCACATTTTGACTGGGGCATTTGAATGCATCTTGACTCACCACATACTTTCTACTGAAGTTTCCTGATCTTAAAAGCCAGTTGCACTGCTCTTGGGGATCAGACACATGGGCCCAACCCCAAGAGTGTCAACATTTCAATTCCGCACAACCCTGAGAGTGTCAACAGTTCAACTCCACACAATGATAACATCGGGTCCTTTGGGCATTCTAGTTGCATGTTGCGATAAGATACTAATCCAGCAGCATGACCTGAAACACCACTGTAAAACAGAAATGGTGATTACACTTCATTCTACATAATTTCCAACAGACTTTTTTTAGTAACTTACCCAACAGCATAAACACAGTCAGAATGATTTGCCAACACATCTTGTTTTGTACAGCTGATCTGAAAAACATACAGAAAATTAACTGATAATTATCAATTATTTCATTAGGGTTTCAGTTTCACACACTTCAATTAATTTGATACTCACATCTTTGTAAGTAGAAAGGAAGAACAAACTCAGAATGTCATCTGAGAAAAAAACATTGCTTAGAATATCAATTAAGTATCAATACAGCTCTTCTTTCACCATTAGAGCTATATAGTACCTCATTGCTCCAGGCTTTTGCTGATCATTGTTCACCTTCTGGGTTTGGTCATCTGAAAGGCACTATAAATCTAAACAATCAAAATGCCCAAGAAGTACTCAATTTTCCAAGTGCAACATACACAAAAGCACTCGGGCACCCATTTCAAGGGTGAAGACTTCACTAAACTTTAGAGTAACTATTCTTTCATTTCAGTTTTTTTGTTTTGTTTTGTTTTTTTATTTTCATCCCGCTGTTACACAAATTCTGTTAAAACCCAAATACAAGCATTTTCATCCTTTAAAAAAAGGTCCAGAGAGGATATTAGAGTAAAACATACAGACTTTGGTTGCCACTGTAGTTATCCAGAACTGAATGGTTAGGAAAATTTACAGCTCAAGTCAGACAGAGAATGCTGGGGCAAGAAATAAGATTTAGGGAATCTCTCCAAAGTATTCACATTCCTTAAATACTTCTGAGAACCATTTCCTTGAGAACATCTGTGTTGCCAGAAGAGCTGGTGCCAACGCTATGTAATCCACTGGCCTTCCAGTCTGGGGGCGCATGTACTGTACTGTGTATACATCCACACTGTATGATGCATACTGGCTACTGTGGTGGGAGAGGCTCCGTACCAGCTATACAGCAGATGGCTCTGCAGCCTGGAAGGAAAGCCTGTGTGGTCACAGAAGACCAGAAGGAGAAGAAAAGGGTGACTCCTCCCTGGTTTTTACCACTCCTGTCTGTGCACAGGCTGCGTCCATCGCCGTTGTCTCACCCTCAACAAGCCCCCGCAGAGCGGAGGGTCAGCCCCACAGGGGAACCAGTGGCTGCTAATAAAACCAGAGAATTTGGTTACAATAAGGAAAGCCATTCTTTGCTCAGAGCTATGCCCCCTCTCCCTTCTGCCCTCACCAGAGACTCGATGTGATTATCCCATGGCCCTGACACTGCTTTAAGCCTTGAGGTGATTCAAGGTTAAGTCGAGGTGATTCAATAGGCATAGCTGTCTACCTGAAGCAGCAGACAACTGACCAGTGGAACTACACTATTTCAGTATTCTTGTTTTCTTGCAAGCTCTTCCACAAAGAAAGCCCTTGCGAATTTAGCTGGGGCTGGAGCCTGAGCCAAACCATTTCTTCAACAGAGACCATCTTCATTTTGGTCTGCAAGATGAGTCAGTCCCATCTACTTTTCTCCCCATTCCCCCCAGGTGATAATCAGAGCACATTTTAAGCTACATTTTGAAAAATTAAAGAGGAAAGCTCAAAATTTCAAAGACTGTGCTTCACAACCCCTACTTCAGAGGAAATTTTGCCTCTCAGCACAGCTGTTAAGAAGCCAACCTTACCTGTACCTCTTCCATTAGCTTGTTCCCTAATAGGTGAGCCATGAAGGCCAGAGGAATTATCTCGCTACAACCTTCTATTAAGTCTGTCATTTCACAAAGATACATGCTGAGATTATTTCCAAAAGCCTACAATCCAAGTTAGTTAGTTTCTTCCCAAGTTTCTGACCGAAGGAAAAAAAACCCTTTTAAAATAATTTATTTGACACAAGCATACACTATTCATACTATTAAACGTATGGTTTTCTGAAAAACAGTCCATGTGCCTCTTTTAAAGGTACAACAAAAATTTGCTGTTCACTGTTCAACCACTTCTCAGTATGAAACTGGCAGAGATCGCTTCCATATGTTGTATAAGAAAATCAGACATATATTTCAAAAACTTACAAAGTTATCAATATGTCATAGATGTCATTGCAAATGCTTTAAAGCTCTCACTTGCAAAACAAAAACTTTACACCATCAACAGCTCCAAATAATCTATAAAGTTATGGTCCATCACTTGCTCTCCCATCACTGGCACAGCAAGAAGCAAAAGCTGTCACCCAGATACCTTAACCCGCTTGCTCCTAAATGTTTGAAGGAAAGAACCACTATTTTGGTAACTACACATATTTCATTGTACTATTTCAAAGCAGAATGTGAAACATCATCTCTCAATTGTTCCTGGAAGTAAGAAGCCAAAGAGTTAATTGTGTTAACAGCAGCTGCTGTGGTAGTTTCAACCATGTAATAGACTGAAAAGAAAGCAACCATGGAGCCCCAGAACCAGGAGCACCTCAGAGAGGGAAAGTTCTGACTAATTTAACCACAGTTGACAGTATTTGGACCAAAAAGTGAAAATATAGTTCAGACCAGATCAAGACATCTTCTTTTCCTACTTCTATGGCATCGATGTAGGCTGATTTTTACAGATGTGTTATTTTTCAATCCTGGTTCCAACAACATTCATGAACAAAAATCAGTGCTGTACATGATCAAAAAGCAATGTAAGCTGCATGTCACCAGCATTAGCTCCATTTCAGTTCAAAGTTCAGTATCGCTTGTGTAAACATTACACAGGAATTGGGTAAAAAGAGATATCTACAGATAACTCCCAGGACAAGATGAATGGACTACTGGACTGGACAGGAGTACCCAATATCTTTTCTATGAGAATATTGAACCTACCAGAATTTCTAACATTATTGTAAGAAAGAATACAAGTTTTACAAGAACACTTCCAGGGAACAGGAAGTTAAATAAAGAAGAATTATTAAAACTTGTAACTACAGCTCTGTCCTGGAGAGAGTAAGTTAACATGGCAAGGACAAATGGCTTTATGCGTGGCTGGGGAAGTATCCATACAAACTGAAGGTATCGGGGTCCATTTTAACACATCTATCTTAAGATACTGCATCCTGAAATCAAAACCTTTGCTGCTGCTACATACAATAAACTTTCCAACTTCATATGTAAACAGCATGCTCCTCTCCACGCTAACCACTGTACAGAAAACTTCAGTAAGGAGAGTCCCTCTTGTAACAGAAACATGCAATTTAAAACACAGCAGATATGACAAGCAAGGAGGACAACAATGAAAGTAAGGTAATTTTTCTTTACAGGCCAGCTGAGAAGTCATACAATCCATTGGCGTATCAGCACAGAAAACATTCTCAGCACAGCCTGAAACAAGCACAGCTGATGATCCACAAACACCTGCTCACTGGGCACTGAAAATACACTGAAAGTTTTCCTTTTCCTCCTGGAGCTGCCTTTTCTTTTCAGTTTCTTGTCTTGACAACTTATATTTCTGCATGTCTCCTTTCTGAACTACAAAAAAAGGGTTAATGTGAAAAGAGGACTGCAGCATGAGGCAGGTCTACCTGTCCAGCTGCAACATCAGTGAACAGAGGGTGGCACTGGTGACTAAGAGTGCCAAGTCTCTACAACCCGCGCTGGACCCAGCAGATTAGCACAACCCTGACACCACTAAATTCAACAGTAAAACTCTCACCAACTTTTACAGGGACAAAATGACTAGATGAGCAAATCTTGCGAGATCAAAGCCTTACACATTAGTGGTTTCCAATGAGCAATTGCAAACCCTACGTAAATTTACAGAAACTCACTTGTCAGGATCTCCTCTTTTTTCCTCAAGTAATGTACCACACACACATAGAGGGTCCAGTGTTCTTTTTTTCTTTTTCTTATTCCCACCCTCTCCCAAAAAACAACAGCTGCTAGTTAATGGGAAACAGGAACATAATACTGCAAGCATACAAACTGTCCCTGACTTTTACAAGCACTCTATTACAGCTGTTTTTAAATATTTAAAAGATCTCTATAAAGCATAAAAATATTTTAGTAATAATGTCTACACAGAGTGCCTTCTGGCCTGCTTGTTAAGGGTGCAGAGGGCTTTCCAGCCCTGTTCATTTTGGCAAGACCCGTGATTCTCAGGCAGCCCTTCTGCGCATGGAATTTCACTGCATTTGTTTGTCATTTAGTATATTAGTAAATATTATTAATAAAGAGCTCAGAGTAAATGGAACATATGAAATAGCAATGACTTGCACTGAATAATTTTGTTTTCCAATACTAAAGCTTTAACCAAAGCAACCCAAGCTGTGTGTTTCCCCACACATGAAGTGCAAGTAGAACTAGGAGCAGAGCTACCCTTATCTCACTCAGAGCAAAAGCCCAGCTACAAAAACAGGCTCCCAGTTCACCGACGGAGCCTCTCTTCTGAAACTCGATAGCAAAACGTCCCAAACTTTAAACAGTTTCTCCAGGTTGTACGATTTCTCTCGATGGCACTGAAACTACCCCCTCATTTCACAAACATCCACGCTGCTCAAAGGTTCCAGAGACGGAAGGCTGGGGATCAGGCAGCACAGCAGTTGCATTTGTCCCTGCATCTCCACTACCACAGCACTAAACGCGGTTCTGAAGTTCGTGGACACATACAACACTCAATTTGAGAGACTTAACGTTCATAAATATTCCTGATTTTAAGGCAGCAACAGAGAAAAGCATTTTTAGTAAATACTCTCTCCCAGCTTTTCACTGATGAACATACATTTGTTTCTCCTCACATGCAGCTGTAAGCCCAGCTCCTGTAATTATCTGGTACTTAAAGCTCCTTCATATTATGGCCACACTTGCTAGTTAAGGGCTCTCAGTGTTTTCATTATAAATTCTATTTATAAACGCTGTGTCAATAATTAACATTGCATTTCCAAAGTGCTCTTCTATCAGAGCAGACTGTAATGGCTTCTGCAGCATCAGTGGCTCTCACAACCCGTGTTTGTGGAGATTATTTTTTTCTTTTGCTTCAGATACTAAGCCTAAAAAGAACTAAACCTCAAAATGAAAGAAAATTAAAAAAAAAAGGGGGGGGGGGGGGGGGAGGGGAGGGCTGATTTAGGTATATCATGCCAACCTCTAAAGTTGCCTGGTCCTTTCGAGAGCTGCGCTGTGGAAGG